TGCTCTTGTTGTGAACCGCGTTGAGTCACCTACGGGCTGAGAAACTGCGGTATACAAGCAAAGTAAATAAATAAATAATAAATAAATGTCCAATTCAGTAGATGTAAAGGGTTCATGAAGGTTGTTCTCAGTCTCTGGTTGTCTGTGTATTGGTTTCTTTCCTACTTTGGTGGCAAGGTTGGGTTTCCATTCTTCAAGAGTTGGTGTGCTATCTGATCTGCCTTTATGTTGGCATGGGTATTAGTTTGTGAGGGGTAATAGGCAATAAGAGTGCTTAAAACTTCAGAGAGCTTCTGTTCAACCATTTCAAAGCTCTCTGTTTGAGCGGTGATAGCATGATCGTCAGCATAGATGAAACTCGCTGTTCCTTCTGGCAGTGGCTGATTATTTGTGTAAATGTTAAACATGGATGGAGCAAGCACGCTCCCTGAGGCAGGCCATTCTGCTTTCACCATCTGCTTCTCTGACCATGTAACTCAACAAAAAAGCTCCTGTTTTGTAGCAGATTCCCTATGAAGCGAGTAAGATGGTAGTCTTTTGTGTTATTATGCATTTTTCTCAGGGGGAGGTAATGATTTACAGTATCATAAGCAGTTGACAGGTCTATGAAGACAGCCTGTAATCTGTTGCCTTTCAGAACCATCTTCTGTGTGGTGAGTCAGGTTTAGCACTTGTGATGTCCCTTCTGGCAGTGGCTGGTAGTTTGTGCGAATGTTAAATATTGATGGAGCAAGCACACTCCCCTGAGGCATGCCAGGGGGACATGAGAGAAGCCTCCCCACAGGATGGTAACACATCCGAGCGTCCCCTGGGCAACATCTCTGTAGATGGCCGATTCTATTACACCAGAAGCAACTTGCAGTAGGCAGTACAGTAAAGCACTGCTAGCCCTGACTGTTGTAGATCCATTGATCAGCATTCTTTCACTATGTTGGACTACAACTCCCATCATCTTGAAGCTCTGTACTGGGGAAAACTGGCCTGAAACCTGCCTTTAAATATGGGGAGGGGGGAGAAGAATGACTCAAATATGGGGAAAAGCTTAAAAGGACTTCTCCGTTATTTAATAATCATACATCCAACATATTACAACTCAAATAGAACAGATCCACAAACAAGGTCAGTTATATATATATATTTAAAAAGCAGCAACACAAATGACTGAATCTTTAGATTATGTATATATCTATACCTATATATACGAAGGTGCACAGAAGCATTAGAGCAGGCATGGGCAAAGTTCAGCCCTCCAGGTGTTTTGGACTTCAACTCCCACAATTCCAAACTGTTAGGGATTGTGGGAGTTGAAGTCCAAAGACCTGGAGGGCCAAAGTTTGCCCATGCCTGCGTTAGAGGGTGCATCTGCACCACAGAACTAATGCAGTTCTACTTTCATCACCACTGCTCAATGCTATGGCATGCTGGGAGCTGTAGTTTGGTGAGGCAAGAAACCCTCTTGGGTCGAACACTCAAGACCTTGGGAAACTACACCCTGCAGGATTCCATAGCATTAAGCCTTGGCAGTTAAAGCGGGATCAAACTGCATTCATGCCATAGCGTAGATGTACCCAGAGAAGTCGGTCCAAACCAAGGCAAACAATACATCGATTATGGGAAGAAAGTCTCTTTTAAGAGCGCTCTCCGTTCCCGATTTCTGTCACTGGGATCCAAGGAAAGGTGCTCCGTTGTGGAAAAGAAAAAGGAGTGTGCAAAAACGATCAAATTTGGATAGTATTGCAAACATCCTCTTAAAAATTGGCTTCCGTTTTTGTAAGGCACTCATAACAGAGCTTGGCTTTTTTTAAAGGCACCAAACACATTATTCTAAACCAATTCCCAAACTGTCCTTACAACTTTGGGTAACTAAGGCCCCATCTAGACTGCTGCATAATGCCATTTCATAATGCAGTCTAACTGCACGAAACTGTATTCTATGGCAATGCGGTCTCATATAATGCAATATGACCTGTATTGAACTGCATTATATGGTTGGCATAGAACCCTATAATGCAGCGGTTCTCAACCTGTGGGTCGCAACCCCTTTGAGGGTCGATGACTCTTTCACATGGGTTGTAAGGACATATTTTTCTGATGGTCTTAGGAACCGAGACACCACTAACCCTTTCCTGCCCCTTCGCTTCCCAGTGACCTCTACGTTTTCTCCGTGGGGAGATGGTGAGGTCACTCAGCCTCACTCTCTCCACCCCCTCCATTACGTTAGGAGGAAGAGACGAGAGCAACAGAGATGAGGTTTGCTTTGGAGCCAAGAGGGAAGAAGGATTAGGAGGTGGTGGTGGAGGTGAGAAGGGAGAAGGTGAGGGAGGAGGGCCTGGGGGAAGGGCAGGGCTTAGAGAGGGGTGGAGTGGCCCCTCCATGGCCAAATTCCAGGGAGAAAGATTTCAGATATCTACATTACGATTCATAACAGTAGCAAAATTATAGTTATGAAGTAGCAATGAAAATAATATTATAATTGGGGGTCACAACATGCGGAACTATATGAAAGGGTTGCGGCATTAGAAAGGTTGAGAACCATTGCTATAATGCAGTATGACTGGTACTGAACTGCATTATTATATGGTCAGTGTAGAACTTTACAGTACAGTTTGAACTGTATTATAAGGGTCTATGCTGACTATATAAACACAGTTCCAAACTGCATTATATCGCAGTATAGATCTAGCCAAAATTTGGCATTCTAGGTTATCCACGCTTGCAGATACCAACTAAATACATTCGCAGTAATAGGATGGCCTCTGAAATTTCTCAGCACAGACCAACCCTGTACCCTGTTCACTCCGAACCTCCAATGAGCCCCTTTCCCATCCCAATATTGCCACGTTTTAAGTGAGATCCCTCATAAGGAATCATTCCAAGACTCCAAATTGAAGCCGCTTTAACATTCAAGCCAAGAGATTCTGGGAACTTAGCTTCTTCCATAGTGGACGATGAGCCCAGCTCTCCAAACGATGGCTCTGTAGAACTCCAAGGAGGAATGTTATGAGCATCCAGTCATTATTATCAAACAAGGGCTTAAACATTCATAGTGCAGATGCAGGAGGCTTAAGTAGCTTTGTTTGATTACGCAGACAGAGGGGTTTCTTAAATACTTTTTCCAAAATTTCAATGGTTTGGGGTGGACCTTCCAATGATAGGACTTGTTGCATGTGCTGGAAACCACTCCTCTCCTACATTTTGGAAATCTGGACAAAACTCCACTATTATCCTCCACTTTGGGCAAGGACAGGATGGAGAAAAAGGGCAGCATAAGTGCACAAATGAGACAAAATTGGAACATCACACAAAGAAGCCAAAAGTGTCCTCATAGAAGACCTTTGAGTCAGTCCAACTCCTAGATCAGAATGGTAGGCTCATTTGAGGATTCTAGATAGGAGTACAAAGGCACATTCCCGTCATTTTGCAACAAAAGTGAGCAAGACGTGCTCATGGCATTTTCTATGTCATAGAACAAAAGATGAGGGACATCCATTAAAGATTTTCCTTGACCCACTTCTATTTATCACAGGATGCTGAAACTGCACATGTGTAATGATATGCATCTCTATAGGTTATGTGCCAATTTACAGCTCAGAACTGAGACCGGTCTTGATTGTACAGGTGCAGAAGTGGTGTGAGGTTTGAGAATGGACCCAGTGGAATACAGAGCAGTCCTCAAGTTGCTTTCCTTGCAAGGCTGCATACCAAAGGAGACGTTCAATGAGATGAAAGACGTTTATGGTGATGATTCCCCATCAGATGATATAATCAAGAACTGGCATCATCAATTCCAATATGGTCGGACTTTAGTGGAAACAGCTCCAATTCCAGAGCAACCCCACTCTGCTATTGATGAACACACCATCCAGCAAGTGGAGGTTGCCATTTTGGAAAATTGCCATGTAACCATTTGCCACCTAGCCCAAAATGTCAAGGTGAGTGGGGATCCGTGGGAAAAAATCACCCAAGACCATCTTCACTTGCATAAGGTATCCACTCGCTGGGTCGCCTGGCTGCTGACACCTTTCCAGAAGCAGGAACGAGTCGAATGCTCTCAGGTTCTATTGACAATTAGGTGCCATGGAAACCAAGAGGACTGATCACAGAGGAGGAAAGCTGGGTCCATCATTCTGATCTTGAGACTAATGTCCAGTTGATGCAATGGAAGCATCAAGACTCACCACCCAACTCTCAGCAGGCAAGGTCATGCTCACAGTATTTTGGGACCAGCACAAAGTAGTATTGATGGATTTCCTAGCAAAGGGGACCATGATCATTGAGGCAGTCTAGGCTTCACTGCTGCAGAAATTGCAGGAGACCATCCAATTCAAGAAATCATGTGGCATGCTCACCAAAAGTGTCCACCTTCTGAAAGAGAATGCGCCAGTTCACAATTCCCATGTTGCCCAAATGGAAGCATGCTCCTGTGGCTTGGAAATTCGACCACATCCCCCTTATTCACCTGACCTCACACCATCAGGCTTTCACCTCTTTCTAACAAGGAAGTTATTTTTGAAGGGCAAGCATTTTTCAGATGATGAGACTCTGATTTCTGAAGTCACAATGTGACTTTTGGACCAACCTGTTGCCTTCTACAAGCGAGGTGATTACAGTTGCTTAAAAGGATGGGAGAAGTGTTTGTCCCTAAGTGGCACCGATGGAGAGAAGGACTCAAAACTGGGCCAAGTTTCATTGCTCTCAGTCCACAAGAAGTGGGTCAGGGGAAATCTTTAATTAACGCCTTTGTAGCTGGCACCTTTGCCATCGATTCAGGCAGCAAAGTGACTCTGTTTGGGCTACAACAAGGACATATCTTCAGCAAGATCATCCAGATCTAGAAAGGTTCTGTCAAGACTCAATTCAAATGTTTTTCCACCATTTCATCTCCTTTCTGTAACAACAACAGCAACAACAAAAAGCAGCAATAAAGCAATGGGGGCTCTGTTTTAGCAACACAAATTGTCATGCCGACAAAACCTCTTTTGCGGCACCTCAGTGGATCCCTCAACGGCACAGAACAATGACTAGCCCGGTATTCCATTTCTGAAATCCATTCCCATCCGTTCTGCTACTTCCTTCCTGAAGGTGTGACTTCAATATGGAGTGGTGCCTTCCCATTCCACCAAATACTCCACTTTGCCTTCCAGGGTCACCCTCCGCGCCAAGACTTGGTACTTCTCGCCACACACCAGCCGCCCGGCCGCCCCAAAGTAGCTGCTGATGGAGGACTTGAGGTGCGAGAGGGAGGCGTCGTCCTCGCTCAGGCTCTCCAAAGTGTGGCAGTCGATGGCGTGGTCCGGGTGGGATGGGGCTCCGGGCGCCTCGCCGTCTTCGGAAAGGCAGGCAGGCAGTGCTCGACGTGGGTGTTTCAGCTTGGCCTCAACCACTGCAGAAGTCTTGGCAGTCAGTTTGCGCTTCCGGCTGCCCACGTTCCTTCGGCTAGAAGAAGACAATAGCATTATGACCACATTCAGTCAAAGTGGTTGTAGAAAGGGGCAACAGCATGATGGTTGCTTCTATAGTGTTGTCCCTATGATGTACTTTCCCCCATCCTAAACTGAAAGCCTACCTCACTGTTTATCCTTTTTGAGCTCCCTTCAATTACATATTTCCTATTCCTATCTCATCCAGAGTTTTATCATTTTACCTCGTCCATTCGGCCTGCCCATTCTGTTCAATTTTATATTGTTTTAATTTGCTTTATTTATGTTATTTTGCTACTATATGTATTTTATTCCGATGTAATGTTTGCTGTTTGCAGTCTGTATTTTATTTTGCTTTGGGCTTGGCCTCATGTTAGCCACCCCGAGTCCCCTTTGGGGCGATGGTGGCGGGGCATAAATAAAAATTATTATTATTATTATTATTATTATTATTATTATTATTATTATGACAAAAAAGGGCAAGAGCAATGCAGTCATGTTCAATCAAGCATGGTTATGGTCAAGATCAAAGTCTAGAAAGCAGCAATAGCTGTTACACTGTGTAATACAATTTTTGTTCCTAGCTTATAAATGTCATTTCCTAATTGGTTCTATCATTAAAACATGGGGAAAGTTTATTAAACTGCAAAAACTTTGTTTCTGCAGGAGGGACATCTTGCAGCACATTTTGTTCTAGTTTTTCAATGAGTATCTCATTGAGTCTCAACCAACTGAATATAGTTCGTGGCAGCCACAAACACCAATGTATTGTTGAAGGCTTTCATGGCTGGAATCACTGGGTTGTTGTAGGTTTTTTTCGGGCTATATGGCCATGGTCTAGAGGCATTCTCTCCTGACATTTTGCCTGCATCTATGGTAAGCATCCTCAGAGGTAGTGAGATATATAAACCCTTTTTCCTAGTTCCAACAGACCTCACTACCTCTGAGGATACTTGCCATAGATGCAGGCGAAACATCAGGAGAGAATGCCTCTAGACCATGGCCATATAGCCCGAAAAAAACCTACAACAACCCACAAACACCAAGTTTCTGGAGTAGAAGAACTCTTTTCAAAGGAAGGACTGCACAGTTAAACAGGAAATAACACATAGTGTTATTGGTAATGCTCAATCAAACACGGTCGTGGTCTAGAAAAGGGCAATAGCAACAGGGTTGCTTCTGCTAAAATTTATTTATTTATTTAAAACTTTTGTATCCCGATCTTCTCTACCTCCAAAAAGGGACTCAGACCAGCTAACAGCAAGGATTCAATACTAACAATACAATCTAAAACATCGTACATCAACAATAAATTAAAATATATATAGACTAAAATACATAAAAGCCAGTTCGTCAAGATAAAATCATGTCCCACTCAGTCTGCATATGTGGTCGATAACTTTAGTCAATTGCCAGTCTCCGCCATCATTCTGGGAATGCCTCGTTCCATAGCCAGGATTTCGCATGCTTCCTGAAGGTCAGGAGGGAGGGGGCAGATCTGATCTCAATCTGGAGAGAGTTCCATAGCCAGGGGGCCACCACAGAAAAGGCCCTGTCTCTCGTCCCCACCAGACGCGATTGCGGGGGTGGTGGGACCAAGAGAAGGGCCCCTCCAGAAGATCTTAACAGCCTTGATGGTTCATAGGGGAGAGAATGGCAATAGCATTATGGCCATGTTTGGTCAATGCAGTCATGTTCATCATCATGGTCAGTCTAATGTGGTCATAGTCATGTTCTAGAAACAGGAAATAGCAACAGGGTTCCTTCTGCTACCAGCTGTTAGGGATTGTGGAAGTCCAAAACACCTGGAGGGCTGAAGCTTACCCATACCTGATTCAGATGCACCCCTTCTCTGAATCTATTCTGGGTTTATTCTGAAAGCAACTATCCAAGGTGCTGAACCTAAAGGAGGATAGGTCCAGAATTATGGAGAGTTCATGTAGAACCCAGATTAAAACCCAGAGAGGAGGCCAAAGGAAAGAAGAATCTTCTAAAAACCAAAGGGTAAATAATGTGTTGCTAATAATGCAAACGCAACGGAAACCCTCTACCTTGACTGATAGGACAGGCTGGTTGTCACCGATCCTGAAGTGCTGACTGCATCGGTGGAATCCACATCGGAAAGGAAAGTGTGGCTCGAACTTGCGCTGGAAAGGAGTCAGAAATACAGAATCAAGAAGCTCTTCTGCAACAGCTCAAAACCGCTGAAGAGTGTCAGACTGTATAAGAATGAAGTTTTAAGAAAGTTAGAAAAGGTAAGATTGAGATGGGAGGAAGGATTGGAGGACTTGAAAAAGAAAGCTGAAACTCTTGCTAGTCAAAACAACAAGAAGGGAAGAGTTAGATGAAAGTCAGTAAAAGATTTCAGGAGGATGACCAGCAAAGAAAAAGATAGGGCCTTGAGATTCCTTCGAGGACAAGGGGGATGATGGGTTTCCCACTGAAGAGTCTGTGTGTGATCAGAGGGAATTACAGGACACAGATCAGAAGAAATGCCAGCAGCTGCAGATGAGACAGGGGATACTGGGGATTCCAATGTCCATTCCTTAGCAACTGAGGAAAAGTCAGTTTTCCTTGGGAATCAGATGCAGATGGGGAGTTTTCCCATGATATCAGATTAGGTCTCCGCACAGAGGGAGTGAAGAATAGATTCATTAGGCATTCAGAAAAACCCAGGTCTCAAAGGCATAACTGAAAGAAAAACATTTCAGCAGGAAGCAGGGAGAGAGGAGGAGAATGCAAACTGAGAACTGAGAAGAGAGAACAAAAGGACTGAACTTTGCACATGCTCTTACTTATGATTGCTCTTACCTTTTCAGGCTCTGAATTTCATCCAAAGTGAAATCAAAGATGCTGGCCAGATGATGGTTTGTGCTCCAGGCCGAGGCAAAATCACTCTGAGCAGGAAAAACAATGTAAGGAAAATGTCCTCTAACAAAAGTGGGGCCTCGAGGGCCATACAATTCTTTTCACTGCATTAAAGCATTTGATACAAAGTCCTTTCACAGTAGTAATAATAATAATAATAATAATAATAATAATAATAATAATATACTTTATTTATATTCCACTCTATCCACCCAGGGGGACTCAGAGTGCCGTTATACAATTAACAAAGACAGACAATACATAGACAGAGGCAAGGCCTCCCTCTTTTTCATTTCTGGAGGCTGTGCTCTACTTGGCCATGGAGAGGAGCTGTTGTCCCATTTTTCCATGCTGAGGAGCCTGTTGTCCATGGATGCATTCCTGATTTAACTGCCAGCATGTCTTCAGGGCACCTTTTACCTCCCCCCCCCCCCACCCCAGCCACAGTGGTACCCATTTGTCTACTCACAACACTGTTTTCAAACTGCTAGATAAGCAGAAGCTAGGGCTGACGGCGGGAGCTCATCCAACCTGTGGCTTGAACTGCCAACCTTCCAGTTGGCAAGATTTTCCATAGCTGGCAGTTTACCCACTGTGCTAACCATAGCCCCTATGTTATAGCGCTATAATTGCTATTGAAAGAGGAAATTACTTGAAAACAACAAAAGAATACCACTCAAAAACTCACGCTGGGAATAGCATCCTCCAGAAGAAATTTTGACCGTTTCCTCCTCCTTTCCTGCTGAAGTGTGCATGGTGCAGAACTGTAGACAAATTAAGAGGATTCAGAACTTGACAATCTAGCAGTGGAAATATTCTGGGAGTATTGGGTTTAAACTACAAGTTTTGTGTATTTCGTCCAATCAACTGCATGAAAAAGCAACATCACTTTCTTCCTTCATCACATATTCAATGTGGACTGCAATTCGTGCCATAAGAATCTGGGACTATATTTCACATTTCATTAATCAAGGCGATTACATTATGTAACGTGATTTTTGTTCCTGGGTTATTTCTTAATTGGTTCTATTATAAAAGCATGGAAAAAGTTTATTAAATTGCAAAAAGAAACCACCATTATATGAGTCTACACTGACCATATAATGAAGTTGCAAACCATTGGAAAAAGCAACCTTTTTCAAGCCCCCACTAGTTATTTGTTATGTATATAATTCAGATTGTTTACTGTATTGTATATGTGTGTGTTGGTATGCAGTTTCCTTTAACTCTATGTTGTGGGAGGGGCTGCGGACCATGTGGCCAGATCTGGGACTGTTCAGTACTCAGACTCCATTTCAGAGCTCAGACTCCATTGGGCTTCCAGACTAGACAGAGACTCTATTACACTCTCAGAACAGAGAGATGCTTTAAACTATGGACTGTTAAGATTATAAGAAAGATGTAGGCATGAGCAATCCATGGTTCTAAATGGTTGTAAAGTATTTTCAAAACTACAGGGTGCTGGTGCTTTACTTCTACAGTGTTGCTAAAGTTATGGTGGTGAAAATTTCAGAACTCTAACAAAACTTTCAAAATTTCGTTATAATTGGCAGTTTCTAATTGGTTCTGTCATAAAAATCGCCAATAACGAAATAATGAAAATTTGAAAGTTTTGTTAGAGTTCTGAAATTTTCATCACCAGAATATCATGAGCGGATATCATGAGCGATGGTATTGAAAGCCACTGAGAGGTCCAGGAGAACTAGTAGGGACACAGTTTCCCTGTCTAGCTCTCTTCGTAGATCATCCACCAAGGCGATCAATGCCGTCTGGCCTGAAACCAGACTGAGATGAATTCAGATAAGAAACTTTGGAGTTGTGAAGCCACCACCTTCTCTAGAGCCTTGCCCAGAAAGGAGAGGTTTCAAACTGGCCGATAATTATCCAGTTGAGCTGGTTCAAGTAAACATGGCATGAGATTCAAGTAAATACGTTAAGTTACGTGATGGACACGTTAGCATGGCCCAACTTGGCCTAAGCAAAGGAAGATACAGGCCTGCTTTTACGAGAGTGCTTGAATCTCCCTCTTTTCTTGGGTCCATTCGCTCCTCCATCAACGGATCCGGGGATCTTCTCAGGCAGGAGTTTGCTGGGCGGGTTGGGGGGCACGCGGATCCGCAAGCGGAAGATGCATTTCTTCTTCTTGATTTCCTTTCCGCACAGAAATCTGAAAGGCAGAAGGAGGAAACCACAAGAGCAAATCTCAGAGAAGCTTCCTCCATTCCTCCATCCTCACTACCTCTGAGGATCCTTGCCATAGATGCAGGCAAAACGTCAGGAGAGAATACCTCTAGACCATGGCCATATAGCCTGAAAAAACCAACAACAACCCAGTGATTCCGGCCATGAAAGCCTTCGACACAAAAATATTAAAAACTGAGAATGAGATGGAGGAAAAAGGAGGAAAATATATACACATAATAAAAGTGAAAATATGTATGTGTGTGTGGTTGAAGTGTCCACTTTCACAGACAAGCTCCTGTCTCCTCAAACAGCTATAGCTCCCACCATTCTAGAGACACCAAAGGCCCTCCCTCCAATGACATTGCAGGTTATAGCAAGCACCATAAACATGTCCAAGAGCCCTGCCAATGTCCTCAACAAACACCATACTGCCCACCACCCAAGTGAAGGCTTTCATACAGGGATAATTTCCATCTAGATTTTATGTGTTTCCTCCTCCACAGACATCACAGTGTTACTGACTCTCTTCATTGCTGTGGAATTTGCATTATCCCACCCACTGCCTCTCCCTTAATCCTTTCCTATTCTTTCTTTGGCACACAACCAACAGAGGACTAGATCAGCAACTGAACATACTAGAGAGGTTGGGGGAGAATTCACCATGATTTATAGGAGTTGTAGGTACTGGGATATATAGTTCCCCTGCAATCTAAGAGCACTCTGAACTTCACCATCAATGGACCAAACTAACTTGGCACACAAAACACCCATGACAAACAAAACATACTGGAGGTCTTTGGAGGGATTTAGAGGAGTTGTAGTTCATTATGCGCACTATGAATCCAAAAAATGATGAATCAGGACCAAACTTGGCATGCATACCTAATATGCCCAAATTTGAATACTGGTGGGTTTTGAGAGGAATTGGCCTAGGCATTTTGGAGTTGTAAGTACTGGAATTTATAGTTCATCTGCATTCAGTAAGCACTCTGAACATCGAAGATAGAATTGGACCAAACTTGGCACACAGATCCTCCATGACCAGCAAAAAATACTGGAGGTCTTTGGGGGGAAATCACCTTGATTTGGGGGAGCTGTAGTTCACCTACATCAAGACAGCATTGTGAACCCAAACATCGAATTATAGGAATTGTAGATACTGGGAGGTATAGTTCACCTGCAATCTAAGAGTACTCTGAACTCCATCAATTTTTTTTTTCATGTCAGGAGCGACTTGAGAAACTGCAAGTCGCTTCTGGTGTGAGAGAATTGGCCGTCTGCAAGGACGTCGCCCAGGGGACGCCTGGATGAATTGATGTTTTTATCATCCTTGTGGGAGACTTCTCTCATGTCTCCCCAAGAGGAGCTGGAGCTGATAGAGGGAGCTCATCTGCCTGACCTGGAACTAACTTGGTGGAAAGGTAATGGCGCTCCATGCAGTCATGTTAACCATATGACCTAGGAGGTGTCTATGGACAATGCTAGCTCTTTGGCTTAGAAATGGAGATGAGCACCACCCTCCAGAGCCAGACTCAACTAGAGTTAATGTCAAACCTTTACCTTTATCTGCATAACCAAATAAAATAATATAGTCCCCCATGATGCTCCTCACCTGCTTTTGTAGCTGTTTAGTGCATCTGAAAGATGGGGTCCTCGCTCTGCTGTCGGGGTCCCGGTCAACTGGGAACAAGAGACACAGTAAAACCACAAGCATGGGTTCTGTTCAATGGGAGTCATACAATTTATATTGATTTCCAAGAGTTATTCTTGATGGTGGCCGCAAGAGGGAACCCAAGTGCCACCAATATCAAAATGTTCCCATTCCATGCAAACCCCTCGAGCTCCCTTTCTTACCTTCCCCAGCTGCAAGAGGTCCCAGTGGTGATTGACAAAGGCCACGATTTCCTCAAAGTCAAAGTACTTCTTCTTGCTTTGAACGCCCAAATTGTAGAGTGCGAGATGCACTACGTCAACCCTGTGTAAGGAACAAGTCCGGCGATTATTTTCCCAGCATTTTCTGCCATTTTATTAAGTACAAGAAGGAATCTTGATGACAATCAAAAGTTAGAGGAAAGGGAGACACCATGAAGCGCTCTCTAATGCTATCCGTTGGCCGGAATCTCCTGCATTTTCATGCATTTGGGGGATTTCCTATGAGCATATAACTGGGTCACAACAACTGGGTCACAGCAACATGTTATAGAACTCCAATATGCTGATGATAACGTTGTCTGTGCACATTCAGACAAGCCACTCTAAACACCTTCGCAGAAGCATATGAGAAGCTCAGCCTCGAGAAGCATCGAGGAAACCAAAGTGCTCTTCCAGCAGTCACCAGCCAATCCCTCTCCAATACCAGAGATACAGCTTAATGGTGTAACATTAGAACATGTTGACCATTTCCGCTCCCTTGGCAGCCACCTCTCCACAAAAGTCAACACTGACACTGAAATACAACACCGCCTGAGCTTTGCGAACACAGCACTTTTCCGAATGAAGTAGAGAGCGTTTGAGGACCGGGACATCCGTAGGGATACCAAGGTGCTTGTTCATAGAGCTATTGTCCTCCCAACCCTGCTCTATGCCTGTGAGACGTGGACTGTCTACAGACGTCACATGCAACTCCTAGAATGATTCCATCAGTGTTGCCTTCGGAAAATCCTGCAAATCTCTTGGGAAGACATGTGAGCAAACGTCAGCGTGCTGGAAGAAGCAAAGACCACCAGCATTGAAGCGATGCTCCTCCGCCATCAACTCCACTGGGCCGGCCACATGGTCCGGATGCCAAACCACCGTCTCCCAAAGCAGTTGCTTTATTCCGAACTCAAGAACGGAAAACGGAATGTTGGAGGGCAGGAAAAGAGATTTAAAGATGGGCTCAAAGCCAACCTCAAAATCTCTGGCATGGACACTGAGAACTTGGAAGCCCTGGCCCTTGAGCACTCCAACTGGAAGTCAGCTGTGACCAGCAGTGCTGCAGAATTTGAAGAGGCACGAATGGAGGGCGAAAGAGAGAAACGTGCCAAGAGGAAGGTGTGTCAAGCCAACCTCATCCGGGACTGCCTCCCACCTGGAAACCAATGCCCCCACTGTGGGAGAAGATGCAGGTCAAGAATAGGGCTCCACAGTCACCTACGGACCCACCGCCAGGAAACTACACTTGGAGGACCATCATCCTCAGACTACAAGGAATCGCTGAAGTAAGTAAGTACAACTGCCTTCTTGACCAAACATTTTGTCAGCATTCTCAATGTAGAAAGCAACAAGGAAGTTTAAAGCCTGGATCTTACCATCTCAAAGGCAACCGTTTGATGTATTCCGGGCCCTGGTTGCACACCGAGCAATAGAAAATGTAAAATCTGAAAGACATGAGACTCCTGTTGTTTATTAAAGATGATTATAAACACTTTGTTACTGACTGGAGCTGATACAGAGCAGCAAAACAAAGAAACAAATCCTTCAAATCGCCATCAAATTACACAATGTAACAAAATTTGGGGAAAAAATGTCTGTTCCTGGTTTGGAAGTGTTGTCATTTCCTGTTTAATTGTTCATTCCTTACTTTGAAAGTAGTTGTTATTAGGCCTGTTTGATCAAGAAAAAATTTGTTTCTAAAATCGTTTTGTAATTGGGGTGTTTTTTTGTTTCGATATTTAAAATAATTACAAAACTTTTCCAAAAAAAGTTTTGGTATTTACGAAATTTTGTAATTATTAACGAATTTTTAGAATTTTTTTTTTGTATTATTTAATAATAATATTAAAATAATATTAAAAAATAATATTAAAAATAATATTAAAAAATAATATTAAAAAATATTTTAAAATGGAAAACGAAACCGCACAGGCCTACTATACAGACATAGCGGTTTTGAGTCAGACCCAGCTAACACCTCCCAACAAAGGATTCCCCTGAGCAGGAATAATATTAAAATAATATTAAAAAATAATATTAAAATAATATTAAAAAATATTTTAAAATGGAAAACGAAACCGCACAGGCCTACTATACAGACATAGCGGGTTTGAGTCAGACCCAGCTAACACCTCCCAACAAAGGATTCCCCTGAGCAGGAAGGAGCCAGACTTTGAAGCTACAAGGCCATTTAATCCCAATCAAGCTGTCCAAACTCCATTTGCCAGTAGTTTCCAACAGACCTCTGAGGATGCCTGCCATAGATGTGGGCAAAATGTCAGGAGAGAATGCTTCTGGAACATGGTCATACAGCCCAGAAAACTCACAGCAAGCCTGGATGCAGCTCCTGCGCTCCGCCTCCGGGGGCCCGGCTCCTGCGCCCTCCGGGAGAGAAAGAGAAGGAAGGAAGGAAGGAAGGAAGAGAGAAGAAAGGTGGGAGTGAGGCTAGGCAGAGACGAGAGAAAGAGAAAAGGAGGGAAGGAGAAGTACGGAAGAGAAGGAATGAGGGAGGGAGAAGGAGGGAGGTAAGGAGGAAGGAAAGAGGAAAGATTGGGTGGTGAGAGAGAGAGAAAGAGGGAGGGAGTGAGAGAGAAGGATGGAGTGAAAGAGAGAAGGGGGAGGAAGGAGGGACGCGAAAGAGAGAGAGAAAGAGGGGAAACGAGGGAGTGTGTGAGAGAGAAAGGGGGAAAGAGAGAGAGAGAGAAGGAAGGAAAGAAGGAAGGAAGGAAGGAAGGAAGGAAAGAAAGAAGAGAGAAGAAAGGAGGGAGTGAGGCCAGGCAGGGACGGAGAGAAAGAGGGAACGCGAGAGAGAGAGGGGGGGAAAGGAGGGAGTGTGTGAGAGAGAAAGAGGGAGGGAGTGAGAGAGAAGGATGGAGTGAAAGAGAGAAGGGGGAGGAAGGAGGGACGCGAAAGAGAGAAAGAGGGAGGGAGTGAGAGAGAAGGATGGAGTGAAAGAGAGAAGCGGGAGGAAGGAGGGAACGCGAGAGAGAGAGGCAGGGGCGGGGCTTGGCTCACTGGGTGCGCGCTCGCGGCGCCCCTTCGCCCCGCCCGTCCGCCCCATTTACGAAACGAGCGAAAGCTCGTAAATACTCTTGGAGTTGACGTTTCGATATTTTAAAACCCTTCCGGGTTTGAAATATTGTTTTGTTATCGTACCGTAAATGCAAAAATTAACGAATTTAAAACGAAATAACGAAATAACGAATTAAAACCGACAGGCCTAGTTGTTATCCTCCAGAAACTTTGTTATTGTGGCTCCTAAAAACTTGGTTGAATTGGCTGAGGCTCAATGAGATATTTATTGGAAAACTACAAGGTTTGAACGAAAAGTAATGCCTCCACCTTCGTAACTCCTCAACAGATGGCAGTACTGGTAAGTGGAAGGTATTGGCTTGTTCAGTAGACTCTCCTCTACAGTTCCATTTTAGCAGGAAGCCTTAGCATTGAATGGTTGTGTTGTTAAAGTGCGAAGTATGGAACCCTGCACAGACAGTCAATGCGACTTAAGCAATGTGCAGTCACTGAATTCTTGACAGCAGAAGGTGTCACCTCAACATCTTTAGACTTACTCGCCCAATTTTTTTTTGTCATGTCAGGAGTGACCTGAGAAACTGCAAGTCACTTCTGGTGTGAGAGAATTGACCGTCTGCAAGGACGTTGCCCAGGGGACGCCTGGATGATTTTTGATGTTTTATCATCCTTGTGGGAAGCTTCTCTCATGTCCCCGCATGAGGAGCTGGAGCTGATAGAGGGAGCTCATCCGCCTCTCCCCAGATTCGAACCTGCGACCTGTCGGTCTTCAGTCCTGCCGGCACAGGGGTTTAACCCACTGCACCACCGGGGGCTCCTCGCCCAATGATGCAAAGTCCTCACATCAACACAATCACCATAAACAGCTTGCATTCTCTGATTAATCTCCTTTGGGGTGACACCTTCTGCTGTCAAGAATGTAATGACTGTACGTTGCTTAAGTTGCATTGACTGATCGTCTGCGCAGGGTTCCATATTTCGCAGTTTAACAACACAACTGTTCAATGCTAAGGCTTCCTGCCAAAATGGAACCGTAGAGGAGAGTTTACTGAACAAGCCAGTATCTGCCACATACCAGTACTGCCATCTGTTGAGGAGTTATGAAGGTGGAGGCATTACTTTTCATTCAACCCTCATAAAATGTGCTGCAAAATGTCCCTCCCGCAGAAATAAAGTGTTTGCAGTTTAATAACTTCTCCCATGGGTTGTTGTAGGGTTTTTCGGGCTATATGGCCATGTTCTAGAGGCATTCTCTCCTGACGTTTCGCCTGCATCTGTGGCAAGCATCCACAGAGGTATTGAGGTGTGTAAGCACCTCTGAGGATGCCTGCTATAGATGCAGGCGAAACGTCAGGAGAGAATGCCTCTAGAACATGGCCATATAGCCCGAAAAACCCTACAACAACCCAGTGATTCCGGCCATGAAAGCCTTCGACAACTTTTCCCATGCTTTTACGATGGAACCAATTAGGAAAAAATGACATTTATAACCCAGGAACAAAGATCATAGTGTGATATAGTGTTATTACAGCCTAAATAGGCAGTGCCAAAGAATATAAATAAACAACCCTAATAATACCGGTCTCCGAAGAGCATTGGGTCACTAAGGCATTGTGTGCAGGCCTCGTGGAACCACTGCCGGCAGTGGCAACATTGCAGCATCTTCAGGTACCACCTGGAAGGAGAAAGCAAAGAGGATGGGATCAAGGAAGATGAATCCGCAGATGGAATCGGGATGGCTTTGGCTTTGCTTGGCTCGTTGGCCACTTGCACCACGTGGTCTTACTCGCCAGGGCCGCCGCAGTAGCAGTAACACTGTTGGTGGTTGGTCCGATGGAGCGAGTCCCATTCCAACTGCTCCGGGTCGTAGGAGAGCACCATCTTCACCCTTTGTAGCGTCCGGGCAATGGCTCCTTTCTTCAGGGCACCACCGTTCTGGAAACAACAGCAGATGGAAAATGAGTTCCAGGGCAGAGAGAAGGGTATCTAGTGCTATTGGGATGCAAGGAAGGGAAGGCAATTCTCTCCTGAAGCATTCTCTCCTGATGTTTTGCCCACACCTACGGCAGGCATAGAATCATAGAATCAAAGAGTTGGAAGAGACCTCATAGGCCATCCAGTCCAACCCCTGCCAAGAAGCAGGAATATTGCATTCAAATCACCCCCGACAGATGGCCATCCAGCCTCTGTTTAAAAGCTTCCAAAGAAGGAGTCTCCACCACACCCCAGGGCAGAGAGTTCCACTGCTGAACAGTTCTCACAGTCAGGAAGTTCTTCCTAATGTTCAGGTAGAATCTCCTTTCTTGTAGTTTGAAGCCATTGTTTGTTTATTTATTTATTTATTTACAGCTTTTATATTCCACCCTTCTCACCCCGCAGGGAACTCAGGGCGGATTACAGTGTACACATGTATGGCAAACATTCAATGCCAATTTTTGACATACAAACATATACAGACATAGACAGAGGCTATTTAACCTTTTCTGGCCGCCAGGGGAGCTGTCGCTTTCATCGTCCATCTGCGACGCTGATGAAGCACTTCCGCATTCCCCGCATGCTTCCGCACTGGAATTGTTCCATGTCCTAGGCTGGCTCCCTCCTCCCTGTGACTTCCTCACACATATTTATACATGGCTATCATATCACCTCTCAGCCTTCTCTTCTTCAGGTTAAACATGCCCAGCTCTTTAAGCCGCTCTTCATAGGGCTTGTTCTCTAGATCCCTTGATCATTTTAGTCACCCTCCTTTGGACACATTCCAGCTTGTTCAGTGCAAGGAAAGAAAGCAAAGCCAAAAAGGCTGCCTTTCCTCTCTAAATCAATGGCCTCCCACCATGAGGAGAGAGAAGTAGAAGGAAGAAAGCAGAGTTTTCTTCCTTCTACCTCACAACCTCTGAGGATGCTTGCCATAGATGCAGTCAAAACATCAGGAGAGAATGCCTCTAGAGCAGTGGTTCTCAACCTGTGGGTCCCCAGGTGTTCTGGCCTACAACTCCCAGAAATCCCAGCCAGTTTACCAGCTGTTAGGATTTCTGGGAGTTGAAGGCCAAAACATTTGGGGACCCACAGGTTGAGAACCATTGCTCTAGAACATGGCCATATAGCCCGAAAGAAACCTACAACAATCCAAAGCAGAGTTTGCTGGGAAAGAGACTGAGAAAGCACAGAATTCTGGGAAATGTATTTTAGGAAGTTGAGGAGCCCTATGCCAGAGAATGCAAAAGGTCTTGCCCTGAACTACATTTCCCAGTATTACTGCTCAACATCAGAATGCCCCAATCATACAACAGGTATGGGCAAACTTCAGCCCTCTAGGTATTTTGGACTTCAATTCCCACAGTTCCTAACAGACTACCAGCTGTTAGGAATTGTGGGAGTTGTAGTCCAAAATACCTGGAGGGCCGAAGTTTCCTGGGATAATACAGAGAAGGAAAGAGAAGCAAATCTTACTGCAAAAAGGGAAGCTAATCCAATTAAGGAAGGGAAACCAATCAGGTTGGACTGCATGGACTTTGGGGTCTCTCCCAATTTGACAACGATACGATTTATGCCATGAAACAAATACATGGATGATTTCCCCGCATCGCTTACCCGCACAGCCAAGGCAAAGACACATCTCCGGCAGAACCAAGGAGTCGCCGAGGAGTCCTCTCGATCGCTCACCCTCGGGATATGGCACTGCTGGTGATAACCTGGTGAGAGCAGAGCAGTCAATGTCATGGGGAAGCGTCTCCGCTCTGGTTTTTGGTCTGATCTTTAAAGCCCTGAACTTCCCCCCAAAACAGGCCAACCGGGACCTCCTTCTTACCTAGTCCGCACTTCCCACAGATCAAGATGTCATTCATGGGGCCTGTGGTGCCTCCAAGGCAGATGTTGCATTTGGGTTCTTCGCCCGGAACCCCAGCTAGAAAAGAGAAAGGAGTCAAGGAGCCTGTCAGTCTGATGAAAGGAAAAGGAAGCACACCATCCCCGTGGATAACCAAAACCATGGATAACCTATATTTTGCTTATACTTGGGTAGGAAGCAAGGCAATTCCTTTTTCCCATGATAATAACTCTCACAACCTTTGATGATGCTTGCCATAGATGCAGGCGAAACGTCAGGAGAGAATGCTTCTAGAACAGTGTTTCTCAACCTCCCTAATGCCGCGATCCCTTAATGCAGTTCCTCATGTTGTAGTGACCCCCCAACCATAAAATTATTTCTGTTGCTACTCATAACTATAATTTTGCTACTGTTACGAATCGTAATGTAAGTATCTGATACTCGGGATGTATTTTTATTCACTGGACCAAATTTGGCACAAATACCCGATATGCCCAAATTTGATTACTGGTGGGGTTGGGCAAGATTTATAGTTCACCTACAATCAAAGAGCATTCTGAACTCCATCAACTATGGAATTGAATCAACTTGGCACATAGAACTCCCTTGACCAATAGAAAATACTGGAAGAAAATACCGGAAGACCTCACTACCTGCCATAGATGCAGGTGAAATGTCAGGAGAAAATGCCTCTAGAACATGGCCATATAGCCCGGAAAAACCTACAACAACCCAATACTGGAAGAGTTTGGTGGGCATTGACCTTGAATTTGGGAGTTGTAGTTCACCTACATTCAGAGAGCAACGTGAACTCAAACAACGATGGAGCTGAACCAAACTTGGCACGAATACTCAATATGCCCAAATGTGAATACTGGTGGAGTTTGGGGAAAATAGACCTTGATATTTGGGAGTTGTGGTAGCTGGGATTTATAGTTCGCCTACATTCAAAGCGCATTCTGAACTCCACCAATGATGTTGACAAACAGAAAATACTGGAAGGGTTTGGTGGGCATTGACCTTGAGTTTTGGAGTTTTAGTTCACCTACATCCAGAGCTGACCTTGATTTATAGGAGTTGTAGTTCACCTATATCCAGAGAGTACTGTAGACTCAAACAATGATAGATCTGGACCAAACTTGGCACAAAGACTCAATATGCCCAAATGTGAATACAGGTTGAGTTTCAAATTTAGACCTTGACATTTGGGAGTTGTGGTTGCTGGGATTTATAGCTCACCTACAACCAAAGAGCATTCTGAACTCCACCAACGATTAATTGAACCAAACTTGGCACACAGAACTCCCATGACCAACAGAAAATGCTGGAAGGGTTTGGTGGTCATTGACCTTGAGTTCTGGAAAGGGGAGCCTTGTACGTTCCCCATTGCCGCCAATTGAATGGATCTTCCCGGATCTTTCAGCTGCCTAACCGAAAGGTTTTGGGAAGCTCCCGAAAAATGGATCTGAGTACCCAACGAAATTTGGATGCCAAAACTGGATTGTCCTCCAGACGAATTGCACAAGCCTAGTGTCCAGCTCAGGGATGTCCAAACCTGGGAGGAAGAACCCATATTGCAAAAAGGGAATGCAAGCTAATGTTTTTGGGATGCAAGGGAGGGAAGCCAAATCCTATGGCAAAAAGGAAAGGCAATCCTATTGAGATGCAAGGATGGGACACTAATCCTATTGCAAGATGGGAAAAGAATCCAGCACCATTGGGATGCAAGGAAGGGAAGGGTATCCAATCCTATTGCAAAAAAGGAAGCTAATGCTATTAGGGTGCAAGGAACAAAGAGGTATCCAATACTATTGCAAAAAGGGAAGAGAGGCTAATCCTACTGCAAGGCAAGTAAGGGAAGGAAGCCGATCTTATTGCAAGAAGGGAAGGGTATCCAGTCCTATTGCAAGAAGGGGAGGGAATCCAGTCCGTACATACCATGCTGGATGTCCTTCCAAAGCACCCAATACTTAGAGTTGTCCTCGAAAGTCACCAGGCAGCTCTGCTTGGATCCACTCACCTGCAGGGAAAGAAGGAAGGAAAGAAGGAAGGAAGGAAGGAAGGAAGGAAGGAAGGAAGGAAGGAAGGAAGGAAGGAAGGAAGAGAGGAAGAGAGGAAGAGAGGAAGAGAGGAAGAGAGGAAAAGAGGAGGAAGAGAGGAGGAAGAGAGGAGGAAGAGAGGAGGAAGAGAGGAGGAAGAGAGGAGGAAGAGAGGAGGAAGAGAGGAGGAAGAGGAGGAAGAGGAGGGAAAGGGAAACTTTGTCAGGAGTCTTGCAGGTACAGAATGATGTTGCCGGAGTGATGTTTCCATCACCTCTTAAAATCATAGAGTTGGAAGAGAGCACATAGGCCATCTAGTCCTTCTGCCTTTATGCAGGAAAAGCACTATCAAAGCCCCCAACAGATGGCCATCCAGCCTCTGTATAAAAGTTTCCAAGGATGGAAACTTTTAAACACGCCGAGGCAGAAAGTTCCACTGTTGAACAGCTCTTACAGTCAGGAAGTTCTTCCTAATCTTCAACGCAATCTCCTTTCTTTTCTGTCATTTGAACTCATGGCTCCATTGAGTCCTAGTTTTCAGGGCAGCAGAAAACAAGCCAGGTCTCTCTTCCTTATGCCATCCTTTCACACTTTTATCCATGGTTCTTATGTCTCCTCTCAACCTTTTCCATGCAGGAAAAGGAAATCAAGCACCCCTGACAGATGGCCATCCAGCCTTGGTTTAAAAGTTTCCAAGGAAGGAGCACCCAAGACACTCTAAGGCAGAGAGTTCCACTGTTGAACAGCTCCTATGGTCAGGAAATTCTTCCTAAAGTTCAGGTGGAATCTCCTCTCCTGTCATTTGAACCGATTGTTCATGGTTTCCAGAGCTTTGATCAATTTAGTTGCCTTCCTCTGGACACCTTGCAGTTTAGAGTCATTATTATCCTGTCCTCTGGAGTATTCGCTCTCCCTCCCAATTTGGTCCCATCTGCAAACTGGATCGGCATGCCCTCTAACCCTTCATCCAAGTCATTAATAAAGATGTTGACCAAGCCCTCTTTATGGCACTCCACTAGAGAACCAAATTGGAAGGAAACATTATTTTTACCCTCTTGATCTTTCCAAGGTAATAGAGCCCGTCGGTCCAACGGCACAAGACGTATTGCCCTTCCGTCAGGGTGGCCATCAGTTCGTGCCGGCCCTTCTGGTTCGTCGATGGCTGAAAGCGCTCCCTGGCTGTCCCCTCCATGAGCTTCAATGGGTCCTGGAAAGAAAACAAAGCTTTGGTTGATAATAATAATCATTATTATCTATCTTCTATACACATAATAATAGTGAAAATATATGTGTGTGTGTGGCTGGGGTGTCCACTTACACAGACAAGCTTCTCCTTTCGTAAACAGCTATAGCTCAGACTACTCAGGAGACACCAATGGCCTTCCCTCCAATGCCATTGTAGGTTATAGCAAGCGCCATGAACATGTCGAAGACCCCTGCCAATGTCCTCCACAAACACCATCCTGCCCACCACCCAAGTGAAGTATTTCATATGGAAACAATTTCATCCTAGATTTTATGTGTTTCCTCCACCACAGACATCTCAGTGTTTCTGACTCTCCCCATTGATGTGGAATTTGCATGACCCCGCCCACTGCCTCTCCCTTAACCCTTTCCTATTATTTTCTATGGCACGCAGCAAACAGAGGAATTGATCAGCAATTGAACATACTAAAGGTTTCGGGAAAATTCGCCATGATTTATAAGATTTGTAGGTACTGGGATGTATAGTTCACCTGCAATTTATGAACACTCTGAACTCCACCAATGATGGACCTGGAACTAACTTGGCACACAGAACCCCCATGACCAACAAAACATACTGGAGGTCTTTGGAGGGATTTATAGGACCTTGGGTTTTGAAGTTGTAGTTCACCTACATCCAGGAGCCCCCAGTGGCGCAGTGGGTTAAACCCCTGTGCTGGCAGGACTGAAGACCGACAGGTCGCAGGTTCAAATCCAGGGAGAGTGCGGATGAGCTCCCTCTATCAGCTCCAGCTCCTCATGCAGGGACATGAGAGAAGCCTCTCACAAGGATGGTATATATGTGTGTGTGTGTATATATATAAACACATCCGGGCGTCCCCTGGACAACATCCTTGCAGACAGCCAATTCTCTCACACCAGAAGCAACTTGCAGTTTCTCAAGTCGCTCCTGACATGACCAAAAAAAAACAACAACCTACATCCAGAGTGCACTATGGACCCAAACAATGATGGATTTGGACCAAACATGGCACAAATACCTGATACATACTAATTTGAATACTGGTGGGTCTTGAGTGGAATCGGCCTCGACATTTTGGAGTTGTAGGTACTGGGATTTATAGTTCACCTGCAATCAATGAGCACTCTGGAAAATCCCAAAGATGGAATTGGGCCAATCTTAGCACATTGATCCCCCATGACCAGCAAAAAATACTAGAGATCTTTAGGAATAATTCACCTTGATTTGGTGGAGTTGTAGTTCACCTACATCCAGAGAGCACTGTGAACCCCAACACCGATGGTTCTGGAACAAACTTGGCACAGATACCTGATAAGCTGAAATTTGATTACTGGAGGGGTTTGGAGGGAACTGACCTTCCCTTCTGGGAGTTGTAGTTCACCCACAACCAGTGGATCAGTGACCTCAACTGATGATGGACCTGAAGTAAACTTGGCACACAGAACCCCCATGATCAACTCAACCTATTGGAGGGGTTTGAGGGGACTGACTTACCATAGTGGAAACTGTAATTTACCCTTCACCACACACATCAGGGGAACAACTGACCACATAGGGAAGCTGATGAAGAAATGCAACCTACAAACGATCTACTAAGAAAATTAAACCAATGCTATGTTCAGCAAAGGGTAAGAGGGATCCTCTCATCTCTGCAGGAGTCTACCAGATACCATGCAGCTGTGGACAAGTCTATATAGGGAACACCAAATGCAGCAATGCCCAGGCACGAATCAAGGAACGTGAAAGGCACTGCAGACTAACTCAACCAGAGAAGTCAGCCATAGCAGAGCACCTGATGAACCAGCCTGGACACAGCATATTATCTGAGAACATAGAAATGCTGGACCACACCAACAACCACCATGTCAGACTACACAGAGAAGCCACTGAAATCCACAAGCATGTGGACAATGTCAACATAAAGGAGGAAACCATAAAAATGAGCAAAATCTGGCTACCTGTATTTAACAATTCTAAAATCAGGACAGTAAATAAAGAGCAACACAGGGGAATTCCAGACAGGAAATGATCAGAGCCAGCTAACACCTCCCAATAAAAGATTCCCCTAGGCTCAATGCCAACCTTAAAAACTCTGGCATAGACACTGAGAACTGGGAAGCCCTGGCCCCTGAGTGCTCCGGCTGGAGGCCAGCTGTGACCAGCAGTGCTGTGGAGTTTGAAAAGGCACGAATGGAGGACGAAAGAGAGAAACGTGCCAAGAGGAAGGCGCGTCAAGCCAAGCCCGACCAGAACCGCCTTCCACCTGGAAACCAATGCCCTCACTGTGGGAGAAGATGTAGATCAAGAATAGGGCTCCACAGTCTCCTACGGACCCACCGCCAGACAGGGGCGGCTCAACCCATTATGCAAAGTAAGCATTTGCAGTATAGTTGATTTCGCCCAGGGGCACTCTTGAGGCACTCTTGCGGGAAAATAGACCTTGACATATGCGAGTTGTAGTTACTGGGATGTATAGTTCACCTACAATCAAAGAGCATTCTGAACTCTACCAATGATGGAATTGAACCAAATATGGCACACAGAACTCCCATAACAAACAGAAAATATATATCAGTGATTGGTTGGGGAGAGGGGGGCCAAAATACTGTTTGCTTACTATTGAAAATTACCTAGGGCCCCCTCTGCCGCCAGAACAGATGGTTTGTGGTTAATACTTCTAAAATCCTTTAAGGATTAGCAATGAGAGTTCCCAAACCTAGAAGATATCCTTATTTTCAGCTCGAATACAATATATACTTTTATGTATTGGCCTTGATTGTTTCCTGTCTAGAATTCCCCAGTTTCTTGAGTGTTGCTCTTCATTTACTGTCCTGACTCTTTATTTACTGTCCATCTAACATCTCCCAACAAAGGATTCCCCCAAGCTGGAAGCAGCCAGGCTTGGAAGCTGCAAAGCCATTCAATGCTAAATAGGGTGGCCAATTACAACATTCACAGTTGCCTCCAACAGACAAGAGTTTTTTTTCTCCCGCCCTGGACATTATCCCACATATAAACCTCACTTGCCTACTTTCCAACAGACTTCACAACCTCTGAGGATGCCTGCCATAGATGTGGGTGAAACATCAGGAGAGAATGCTTCTGGAACATGGCAAGACAGCCTGGAAAATTCACAACCCTTGTGTCTTGTTTAATCTTTGTTGCCTGCATTTTAATATGTATTTTGCAGAATGTTTTTAGATAGAATCATAGAATCAAAGAGTTGGAAGAGACCTCATGGGCCATCCAGTCCAAGCCCCTGCCAAGAAGCAGGAATATTGCATTCAAATCACCCCTGACAGATGGCCATCCAGCCTCTGCTTAAAAGCTTCCAAAGAAGAAGCCTCCACCACACTCCGGGGCAGAGAGTTCCACTGCTGAACGGCTCTCACAGTCAGGAAGTTCTTCCTGATGTTCAGATGGAATCTCCTCTCTTGTAGTTTGATTGTGTGTTGTTAAGCGATGACATAACCTGCCTCGGGTCACAAGGAGAAGCAAGGAAGAAATATTATTATTATCAGTATTGTTGTTCAATGTATTGTCGAAGGCTTTCATGGCTGGAATCACTAAGTTCTTGTGGGGTTTTTCGGGCTATATGGCCATGTTCTAGAGGAGAAATGCCTCTAGAAGATGGCCATATAGCCCGAAAAAACCCACAAGAACTTAGTATTGTTGTTGTTGTAATTAGACCAAATGCACCCCACAAGCTTCATGGTTCCTATCCCAGAATCTGGGCACGGGATATGGATCCCTTTTGCCAGGGTTTCGTCATGTATAAAAACCCCATGATGAGTTCTTTCTCAGTCCAAAGAGGAAGAGAAGAGGCCCGTCAGCTAACGGCAGGGCTGCTCTGCCTTGCCAAGATCTATTTTTACCTCTGCATCATGAGCAAATTGTGGAATTTGAAAGTCTGGCAACATCGGACGCTGAGCCAACAACAGGAGGAGGTCCCTTGTCCAGGAAGAGGCCGGCCCAAACATATCCCAGACCCAAATCCTATGGGTTAGTCCCAACTACAGCATTCATTCTGCAATGTATACGCAGCCGACGACTCAAGGATTCACTCAGTTCTGCTCCTGCAACATAGCTGTTCATTCATAATATAATATCCTGAGGCTATTGACATAGCACCTCGGCGATCCTTATCTTATAAGCAGCATCACAGTCTATTATTATTCATCATTTATTATTTATTATAATAATAAATATATTATTGCTATATTATTGATTATGCATTAATAATAACAATAATAATAATAAACTTTATTTATACCCCGCCACCATCTCCCCAAAAGGGACTCGGAGCTATAATAAATTATAATAATAATTTATTATCGAGTCTGTATTATTACTATATATTTATTATTACTATTATCCAGCTTTGGGGGCCCCCGGTGGCGCAGTGGGTTAAAGCACTGAGCTGCTGAGCTTGTTGATCGAAAAGTTGCAGGTTCGATTCCGGGGAGCGGCGTGAGCTTCCGCTGTCAGCCCTAGCTTCTGCCAACCTAGCAGTTCGAAAACATGCAAATGTGAGTAGATCAATAGGTACCGCTCCGGCGGGAAGGTAACGGCACTCCATGCAGTCATGCCGGCCACATGACCTTGGAGGTGTCTATGGACAACGCTGGCTCTTCGGCTTAGAAATGGAGATGAGCACCACACCCCAGAGTCAGACATGACTGGACTCAATGTCAGGGGACCAACTTTACCTTTTTTTAGCCTATGGATAGATGGTTACCATATTTTGTGTCTAGTCATGTCTGACTCTGGGGTGTGGTGCTCATCTCTAAGCCGAAGAGCCGGCGTTGTCCATAGACACCTCCAAGGTCATGTGGCCAGCATGACTGCATGGAGTGCCGTTACCTTCGGCGGAGCGGTACCTATTGATCTACTCACATTTGCATGTTTTCGAACTGCTAGGTTGGCAGAAGCTAGGGCTGACAGCGGAAGCTCACGCCGCTCCCCGGAATCGAACCTGCAACCTTTCGATCAACAAGCTCAGCAGCTCAGTGCTTTAATCCACTGCGCCACCAGGGGCTCCTTTGGGTTATTGTATTGTATTATTATTGATTATGCATTATTGATAATGATAATGTATATATCATTAGTGTATTACTATTTTTGATCATAATTTCTATATTGTATTATTAACACGTGTTATTGATCATAATCATTTATTATTACTATTATCATATTGTATTATTATTATTGGTTATGTGTTATTGATAATAATAATGTATATATTATTACTATGTTCCAATGTAATATTGATGATAATTTCTATATTATTATTGTATTATTATTTATTTATTTATTTAGAGCTTTTATAACCCGGTCTTCTCGACCTCCGAAGAGGGACTCAAGCTGGCTAAAAGCAGAAAATTCAACACAAATATAGTAAACAATTATTATTGATAGCTATATTATTAAAATTACTATATTGTATAATGACGCATTATTGATAATATTGATTATTATTACTATTATTGTATTATGTGTTATTGATAATGATAATTTCTATATTATTACTATAATATTATTGATTATGTATTATTGGTAATAATTTATATATTACTATGTTATTGTTATTATTTTGGATAATTCCTATATTATTACTATACTGTACTATGCACTATTGATCATATTAATTTATGATTACTATTATTATATTCCATTATTTTTATTATGTATTATTGATAATGATACTTTATATATTATTACTACATCATTATTATTATTGGTTATGTATTATTGATAATAATTTAAATATTATTGCTATTATGTTGTATTATTACTAAAACATGTTATTATTATATTATTGTTGTTGTTGTTGTTCATTCATTCAGTCATCTCCGACTCTTCGTGACCTCATGGACCAGCCCACGCCAGAGCTCCCTGTCGGCCGTCACCACCCCCAGCTCCTTCTATTCTATTCTATTCTATTATTAGTTATGTATTATTGATAACAATTGAAATATTACTATTGTATTATTGATAATGATGTATACATTATTATTGCTATTATATTGTATCATTATTAATACATGTTATTATTATTATATTATTAGTTATATATTATTGATAACAATTGAAATATTATTAATAGCAATGTATAAATATTATTGCTATTATTATATTAAATCATTAATAATAATCCATGTTATTTATTATTGGTAATAATTTAAGTAGTATTTCTAGATTATTTTTTATTATTGATACTAATTCATAGATTGTTGCTATTATATTGTATTATTATTCATAATAATATTTATATATTATTATCAATAATAATGTTATTATTATTATATTATTAGTTATGTATTATTGATAACAATTGAAATATTATTGTCCAAGGCTTTCATGGCTGGAATCACTAGCTTCTTGTGGGTTTTTTCGGGCTATATGGCCATGTTCTAGAGGCATTTTCTCCTGACGTTTCGCCTGCATCTATGGCAAGCATCCTCAGAGGTAGTGAGGTCTGTTGGAACTAGAAAAAAGGGTTTATATATCTGTGGAATGACCTGGGTGGGACAAAGACTCTTGTCTGCTGGAGCTAGGTGTGAATGTTTCAACTGACCACCTTGATTAGCATTTAATGGCTTGGAAGTGCCTGGGGGGAATCTTTTGTTGAGAGTGATTTGATGTGTCTGATTGTTTGCTCTCTGTTGTTTTGCTGTTGTAATTTTTGAGTTTTTGAGTCAGTTGAAACATTCACACCTAGCTCCAGCAGACAAAAGTCCCTTTTCCCACCCTGGTCATTCCACAGATATATAAACCCTTTTTCCTACTTCTAACAGACCTCACCACCTCTGAGGATGCTTGCCATAGATGCAGGCAAAACGTCAGGAGAAAATGCCTCTAGAACATGGCCATATAGCCCGAAAAAACCCACAAGAACCTATTGAAATATTATTATTAATAATGTATAAATATTATTGCTATTATTATATTATATTATATTATATTATTAATAATCATGTTATGTATTATTGGTAATAATTTAAATATTATTTCTAGATTATTTTTTATTATTGATACTAATTCATAGATCATTACTATTATATTGTATTATTATTGATAATAATGTTTATATATTATTATTGCCATTGTTATATTGTATTATTATTGATAATAACATTATTACTATTATTACTATTATTATTATTTTTTATTATGATGACATCTCCAGCATCTCAATGGTTGAAGAGCCGGTCATCCCTGGCCGCTCTGATTGGCCGGTTCGAAAATGCGATGCTTTTTTTGAAAGCCATAGATCCATTTGAGGCCAGGTTGGTTGCAAAGGGGTGGAGTGCGCACAACTGGCCCAAAAACAAGAGTCAAAGCGAAAGGAGGAAACCGAGCCAAAAGGCAAGGGGAGGATGTGCGGTTGGGGCTGCAAAGCCAGGCCGAAAGCAGCCAGCGGGTTTTCCCTTTGCAAAGGCGGCCTTCCTCTCCTTGACACATGCTTGACAGGTTGGGTCCCTCTTGCACCAAGGCCATGGCTTGCCCACGTTCACTGGGAAGAAGGCAAGGCATCCGGAACCAGGCCCTCGGGTGGTTTCTTCTCCTTGTTCTCAAGCAAAAGCCCTCCTGAAACAAACTTGCAGGCATTGCACAAGAAGTAACTCAAAGAGTACAAATAGAAACAAAACTGTTCAGCTCTGCTTCTGCCACATGTCAGGGAGGGAAAGATATGAACAGAGGGTATCATGTCATAGAAGGAAGGAAGAGAAGAAGGGGGGAGAGGCTGAAGGAGAAGGAAGGAGAAGAAGGGGAGGAAAAGGAGAAGAGAAGAAGAGAAAAGAATGCAAAAGAAAAGGAGGAAGAGAAAAAGAGGGAAGAGAATGAAGGCAAGGAAAAAGAGAAGGAAGGAAGAAGAGCAGAGGGGAGGGAAGGGAAAGGAGGAGGGAAAGGAGGAGAATGAAGGGGGAAAGAAAAGCATGAAGGGAAGAAAAAGAAAGAAAAAAGATGAGAATGAAGGCGAGGAAAAGGAGGAGAAAACGAAGGAAGAAGAGAAGAGGGGAATGAAGGGAAGGGAAGAAAAGAGAATGCAAAGGAAAAGAAGGAAAGAAGAGATGAAGGAGAAAAGGGGGAATAGAAAAAGAGGGAAGAGAATGAAGGAAAGAAAAAGGAGGAGGAGAGAAGGAAAATGAGAAGGAAGAGAACGAATGAGGAAAAGAAAGGAGAGCATGGAGGGAAGAAAAAGGAAGAGGAGGAAGGGAATGAAGGAGAGGAAAAGGAGAAGAGAAGGGAGAAGAGGGAAGAGGAGAAGGAAGAGAATGAAGGAGGAAAAGAAAGAAGAACATGAAGAGAAGAAAGGAGGAGGAGGAGGGGGAGGAAGAAAAGGAAGAGAATGATTGAGGAAAAGAAAGAAGAGCATGAAGGAAAGAAAAAGGAGAAGGAAGAGAAGAGAAGAAAAGGGAAAAGAATGAAGGGAAAGAAAAGGAGGAGAAGGCGGAAGAGAATGAAAGAGGAAAAGAGGGAAAGAAGGAAGAGAATGAGAAGAAGAAAGAGAAGACTAGGAAAAGGAAGGAAAGGAAGAGAACGAAGGAGAAAAGGAGGAAGAGAAGTACAAAGTGGGGGGAGGCGAAAGAGAAGAAGAAACTGAGAAAGAAAAGAAGGAGAAAAGTGGAGGAGGAGAAGGAAGGAGCTCCCCTTTACCTCTCTGCTCCAGCTGAGCTCGCCCTCCTCCCGGGGAAGCCAAGTCAGATCCCCGCGTGGGTGCTTCTCCAAGGGCGGCTTAGCGCGCGCCGATCCCGCTTCAGGATGCTCAGGATGCGCCCCGCCGCCATTTTTCCCCGCTCCTCCTCCTCCTCCTCCTCCTCCTCCCCGCCTTCTCTGCAAAAACTCTTGTTTTTCCCGCGAATTATTTGCCTTTTGCTTATGCAAGGCAGGCCCGCCAGGCCCCGCCCCCCGCCAGGCTCTTAAAGCGGTATTCTGGGGAGGAGCCTCCCTGGACAGGAGCAGTCCACCTGCAGAGAGCAGCCTCCTCCTTTTCCTTCTCTTCCTTCCTATCATTCTATTCCCTTCCTTCTCCTCCTTTTCTCCTTCATCCTCTTCTCCTTCCCTTGCCTTCATTCTCTTCCTTCTTCTCCTTCTTTTCTCTCTTCTTTCTTTCTTCCTTTTTCCCCTTTTCTACTTCCTTCTCTTCTCTTCCTTCTCTTCGTTCTCTTTTCTTTTCCTCATTTCCTCTTGCTTCTCTTCTCCTTCCCTTTATTCTCGTCCTTCTCTCTTTCTCCTTCATCCTCTTCTCCTTTTCCTGATTTTCTCCTTGGTTCTCATTTTCCTTCCCTTCATTCTCTTCCCTCTTTTCCTTTCTTCTTTCATTATTGTCCTTTGTCTCCTTTTCCTTCTTCTTCTTTCATTCTCTCCTTCTTCTATTCCCTTTCCCCCTTTTCCTTCTTCTTTCTTCTCTTCTCTTCTTATTCTTTTCCTTCCTTTCATTCTTTCCTCTTTTCTTCCTTTTTTCCTTCATTTCTTCTTCTCCTTCCCTTCATTCTCTTCCCTTTCTCCTTTCTTTTCCATTCTCTTCCTTCTCCTCCCCTTCTTTCTCCTTCCCTTCCTCCTTTTCCTTCTCTTCCCTCTTCTTATTCTTTTCCTTCCTTTCATTCTTTTCTACTTTTTTCCTTTTCTCCTTCATTCTCTTCTTCTCCTTCCCTTCATTCTCTTCCCTCTTTCTTTCTTCTTTCATTATTGTCCGTCTCCTTTTCCTTCTCCTTTCTTCATTCTCTCCCTTCTTCTATTCCTTTCCCCCCTTTTTCCTTCCTTCTCTTCTTCTCCCTTCCTTCCCTCTTCTCCTTTCTTCATTCATTATCATCTTTCTCCTCCCTCATTCTCTTCTCCTTCTCTTCCTCCCTTTCCTTCTCTTCCCTCTTCTTATTCTTTTCCTTCCTTTCATTCTCTTCGTTCTTTTCTTCCTTTTCTCTTTCATTCTCATCCCTCTTCTCCTTTTTTCATTCATTATTGTCCTTCATCTCCTTTTCCTTCTTCTTCCTTCATTCTCTCCCTTCTTCTATTCCTTTCGCCCTTTTCTCCTTCATTCTCTTTTTCTCCTTCCCTTCATTCTCTTCCCTCTTCTCCTTTCTTCATTCATTATCTTCCTTCTCCTCCTTCATTCTATTCCCTTCCTCCTTTTCCTTTTCTTTCCTCTTTTTATTCTTTTCCTTCCTTTCATTCTCTTCCTTCTATTCTTCCTTTTCTCCTTCATTCTCTTCTTCTCCTTCCCTTCATTCTCCTCCCTCATTCTCTTCTCCTTCCCTTCCTCCTTTTCTTTCTCTTCCCTCTTCTTATTCTTTTCCTTCCTTTCATTCTCCTCTTTCTTCCTTTACTCCTTCATTCTCTTCCCTCTTCTCCTTCCCTTCCTTCTTCTCCTTCTCTACCTCCTCTTATCTGCAGATATTGACCTCTGAGGGAAATATGGGGAGGATCCTCTACGGCTAGGAGCAGTCTATCTGCAGGATGTGGACTTGGGCCTCCATGGAGAGGACAAGAGCAGTATTCTCTCCCAGACGCAACCGAGGCCAAGCCCTTCTTCCCTGGCAGGATCAACCCTTCAAGCCTTAGCCAATACTTCCCAAGTGGAGCCGAAGAGGATCAGTGACAGATCCCAAAATCAGGGCTTTGCGGAAGAGCTGGGGTCATTTGCTATTTTCCAACAGCTTCTGCCAACCAGGCTTTGCTTTAATCAAACTATAATCCACTCTCATTTTGTGTTTTGGCTTGTTTTGGTTTTCCCGAAACTTTATTTCCAAGCATGCAATCCATCCACAAACCCGAAGTGCGCATCAAACAAATCTGTGTGATAATGATGTGGATGCAGTGACAGTTCTTGTACACAGAAGCACTTGACCGATCGATTGCAGATACACCAAGTTGGGAATTTGATTCTCAGCTGTTTGTGGAACCGGGAGCCTGTCTGTGGAAGTGGGCAGCCCAGCCACACAATGTACACACACAATACTATGGATATAGATTATGATGAACATTATGATGAGTTTTATGCTGTACTAGCCGTCCCCTGCCACGCATTGCTGTGGCCCACATGGCTGTTCTGTGTGGGAGTTTTGGTCCAATTCTATCATTGGTGGTGTTCAGAATGCTCTGTGATTATAGGTGAACTATAAATCCCAGCAACGACAACTCCCGAATGTCAAGATTCTATTTTCCCCAAACTCCACCAGTGTTCACATTTGGGCATATTGAGTATTTGTGCCAAGTGTGGTCCAGATCCATCATTGTTTAAATCCACAGTGCTCTCTGGATGTAGGTGAACTACAACTCCAAAACTCAAGATAAATCCTCACAAAACCCTTCCAGTATTTTCTGTTTGTCACGGGAGTTCTGTGTGCCAAGTTTGGTTCAATTCCATTGTTGGTGGAGTTCAGAATGCTCTTTGATTGTAGGTGAACTATAAATCCCAGCAACTACAACTCCCAAATGACAAAATCAATTCCCCGCCCAATCCCACCAGTATTCAAATTGGGGCGTATCGTGTATTTGTGCCAAATTTGGTCCAGCAAATGAAAATACATCCTACATATCAGATATTTACATTACGATTCATAACAGTAGCAAAATTGCATTTATGAAGTAGCAACGAAAATAATGTTATGGTTGGGGGTCACCATAACATGAGAAACTGTATTAAGGGGTCGTGGCATTAGGAAGGTTGAGAAACACTGGTGTAGAGTTTGGTCCAGATCCATCATTGGTTGAGTCTACAGTGCTTTATGGATGTAGGTGAACTACAACTCCAAAACCAAAGGATACTGCCCACCAAACCCTTCCAGTATTTTCTGTTGGTCTTGGGAGAACTGTGTGCCAAGTTTGGTTCAATTCCGTCGTTGGTGGGGTTCAGAATGTACAGGTGAACTATAAATCCCAGCAACTACAACTCCCAAATGACAAAATCATTTTTTTTTTAGTAAAGGACATACATTGGACTGTTAGGTGTCTTGTGTCCAAATTTGGTGTCAATTCGTCCAGTGGTTTTTGAGTTCTGTTAATCCCACAAACAAACATTATGTTTTTATTTATATAGATTATTAACTCTTTCGGGCAATATTATAATCATATTTATGGACTACTACTATGTTTTGTTATTATTGCTTTATGTTTTTGATTTTGCTTTGAGTTGTTTTGTTATGCTGTTGTTGTGTTGAGGCCTTGGCCTTTGTAAGCCGCATCGAGTCCTTCGGGAGATGCTAGCGGGGTACAAATTGAGTTTAATAATAATAATAATAATAATAATAATAATAATTATTATATTACTAGCTGTCCCCTGCCACACGTTGCTGTAGCCCAGTCTGGTGATCTGGAAAATAAAGTAATGAGAAAGTGTTGGTTTCTAATATATGTAATATCTTTCTGCTTGTGGGTAAACAGTATTTCTTGCTGTTTCTTTGCCAGTGTTAATGTGGAGAGTGTCTGGTTTGCCTACTCTGGAACATGCAACATGTAATTGTTCTTTAGGGGTCCCTTTCAAATCTATGACACTATATGTGTCATATGCGTGCGTGTGAATGAGTGAGAGAGAGAGTCATATATATCTATTTCTATGGCTGGCTGGCTCTTTGTCAGGAGGGCTTTGATTATGTTTTCTTGCTCTGGTAAAGGGAGTTGGACTGGATGGCCTTCAGGCAGCATCTCTCAATCTGGGGGTCAGGACCCCTGGGGGGGGGTCATAAGGGTTGCCAAAGACCACCAAAAAAACACAGTATTTTCTGTTGCCCATGGGGGTTCTGTGTGGGAAGTTTGGCCCAATTCTGTCATTGATGGGGGTCAGAATGCTCTTTGATTGTCGGTGAACTATAAATCCCAGTAACTACAACTCCCAAATGTCAAGGTCTATTTCCCCCAAACTTGATCTGTGTTTATATTTGGGCATATGGAGTAGTCATGCCAAGTTTGGTCTAGATATTCATTGAGTCCACAGATGAACTACAACTCCCAAAAATTAAGGTCAATTCACCCCAAGCGTCTCCAGTACACTTGGTTAAGTAGTCATGGGGATTTTCTGCGCCAAGTTTGATCCCAGTCCATTGTCGATGAAGGTCACAATTTCTCTGGATGTAGGTGAACTACAACTCCCAAACTCAAGATCAATGCCCACCAAACCCTTCCAGTATTTTCTCTTAGAATCATAGAATCAAAGAGTTGGAAGAGACCTCATGGGCCATCCAGTCCAACCCCCTGCCAAGAAGCAGGAATATTGCATTCAAATCACCCCTGACAATGGCCATCCAGCCTCTGTTTAAAAGCTTCCAAAGAAGGAGCCTCCACCACACTCCGGGCAGAGAGTTCCACTGCTGAACGGCTCTCACAGTCAGGAAGTTCTTCCTCATGTTCGGATGGAATCTCCTCTCTTGTAGTTTGAAGCCAAGAGAGGAGATTACATCTGGTTGTGGGAGTTCTGTGTGCCAAGTTTGGTTCAATTCCATCATTGGTGGAGTTCAGAATGCTCTTTGATTGTAGGTGAACTATACATCTCAGCAAATACAACTCACAAATGTCAAGGTCTATTTTCCCTAAATTCCAACAGTGTTCACATTTGGGCATATTGAGTATTTGTGCCATGGTTGGTCCAGATCCATCATTGTTTGAGTCTGCAGTGCTCTCTGGATGTAGGTGAACTACAACTCCTATAAATCAAGGTCAGTTCTGGAAGTAGGTGAACTACAATTCCAAAACTCAACTCCCAAATGACAATATTTTGAGTGATGGTCACTCCTTGAGTTAGTAGGTATCTTGTGGCCAAATTTGGAGCCAATTCGTCCAACAGATTTTGAGTTATGATGTCACTCAAAACAAACAGAACATTTTTATATATATAGATAGATTATGTCCAATTCTGGACGCATTGACACAAGACATTTTCCCAAGGAGAGTCCCAAACCTCTGTCCGCTCTTTCGATCCATATATCCACCAACTTCTGTTCTCATCGCTACCAACAGCAGTCCTTGATGGTGGTTCATGGTCAAGCTCTGCTGCTTGAGATGCTTCTGGCATTTCCGCTGATTGAAAACTACCAAGAGCAAGATTCACGGATGGGCTTGCGTGATACACCGAAGGAAAAGGGTCCCCTCTTTGAGATAGGCGTATTTCGGTGACTGTAACTTAGCCAACAGGATGAATTTGGGAAAGCCACTGGCTTCATTCATATCCGTCACGGGCCTCTGGAAGGAAGGCGATGCTGGATCCGGGTGGATGGTGCTGACATGATCTTCTGTGTTGTTTTGACTCAGCAGCATGAATGTAACCTGGGAAAAGACAAGCAGAATGGCTCAGGTGGCTTGTTTGTGTGGTTGCCACAAAGTGTTATGCAGCTCATGTTTTAACCCAACGTCCCAGCGCCCAAAACCCAAATGCAAAATACCTCACTACCTCTGAGGATGCTTGCCATAGATGCAGGCAAAACGTCAGGAGAGAATGCCTCTAGAACAGCATTTCTCAACCTGGGGGTCGAGACCCCTGGAGGGGTCGCGAGGGAGTGTCAGAGGGGTTGCCAAAGACCATCAGAAAACACAGTATTTTCTGTTGGTCATGGGGGTTCTGTGTGGGAAGTTTGGCCCAATTCTATTGTTGGTAGGTGAACTATAAATCCCAGCAACTACAACGCCCAAATGTCAAGGTCTATTTTCCCCAAACTCCACCAGTGTTTACATTTGAGCATATTGAGTATTCATGCCAAGTTTGGTCCAGCTCCATCATTGTTTGAGTCCACAGTGCTCTCTGGATGTAGGTGAACTACAACTCCAAAATGCAAGGTCAGTGCCCACCAAACTCTTCTAGTATTTTCTGTTGGTCATGGGGGTTCTGTGTGGGAAGTTTGGCCCAATTCTATTGTTGGTGAGGTACCGAAAGCTCTTTGATTGTAGGTGAACTATAAATCCCAGCAACTACAACGCCCAAATGCCAAGGTCTATTTCCCCCAAACTCTACCAGTGTTTACATTTGGGCATACTGAATATTCATGGCAAGTTTCGTCCAGCTCCATCATTGTATGAGTCTACAGTGTTCTCTGGATGTAAGTGAACTACAACTCTAAAACTCAAGGTCAGTGCCCACCAAACTCTTCTAGTATTTTCTGTTGGTCATGGGAGTTCTATGTGCTAAAATTGTTTCAATTACGTCATTGGTGGAGTATAGAATGCTCTTTGATTGTAGGTGGACTATAAATCCCAGCAACTACAACTCCCAAATGACAAAATCAATCCCCCATTGCACCCCACCAGTGTTCAAATGTGGGCATATCGGGTATTTGTACCAAATTTGGTCCACTGAATTAAAATACATCTGACATATCACTTATTTACATTATGATTCCTAACAGTAGCAAAATTGCAGTTGTGAAGTAGCAATGAAAACAATTTCATGGTTGGGGGTCAGCACAACATATAGAACTGTATTAAGGGGTCGCGGCATCAGAAAGGTTGAGAACCACTGCTCTAGAACATGGCCATATAGCCCGAATAAACCTACAACAACCCAGTGATTCCAGCCATGAAAGCCTTTAACAATACAAATGCAAAATAGTCTCAGACCAATAGTCAAAGTGAACAGAAAATCTTTACTCTCTTTGCGGAGATGAGACAAAACTGGCAATGTTGCACACAAAAATCAGCAGTGCAACATATTTACACAGTCTTTGTAATAAACATAAAATAAGACATCTTCATCTTTACTGAAAATGGGAAAACAAAATGAACCTGAAGTATTTATTTGTCGTGTCAGGAGCAACCAGTCAATTGTATTACATTTCCAACAGAACAAAACAAACAGACAAAATACAAAATTTGCGAGTTTGGTAGTTGATTAAATGTCCTTTGACCAGTATCTGGCCACTTGGAGTGCCTCTGGTGTTGCTGCAAGAAGGTCCTCCATTGTGCATGTGGCAGGGCTCAGGGTGCATTGCAGCAGGTGGTCAGTGGTTCGCTCTTCTCCACACTTGCATGTCGTGGATTCCACTTTGTGGCCCCATTTCTTAAGGTTGGCTCTGCATCTCATAGTGCCAAAGCGCAGTCTGTTCAGCGCCTTCCAAGTCACCCAGTTTTCTGTGTGCCCAGGAGGGATCTCTCATTTGGTATCAGTCATGGATTGAGGTTCTGGGTTTGAGCCTGCCACTTTTGGACTCTCGCTTGCTGAGGTGTTCCAGCAAGTGTCTCTGTAGATCTTAGGAAGCTACCTCTTCATTTAAGTTGTTGGCGTGCTGGCTAATACCCAAACAGGGGGTGAGCCGGAGATGTCACTGCCTTGGTCCTTTCACTATTGGTTGTATCATAGTGTTACATTGTGCAAATATGGGCCAGGCTTTAGCACAGTGTTTCTCAACCTGGGGGTCAGGAGGGGTCACCAAAGACCATTAGAAAACACAGTATTTTCTGTTGGTCATGGAGATTCTGTTGGTCATGGAGGTTCAGAGTGGGAAGTTTGGCCCAATTCTCTCATTGGTGGGGTTCAAAATGCTCTTTGATTGTAGGTGAACTATAAATCCCAGCAACTATAACTCCCAAATATCGAGGTCTATTTGCCCCAATCTCCACCAGTGTTCACATTTGGACATTTGAGTATTTGTGGCAAGTTTGGTCCAGATCCATCATTGTTTGAGTCCACAGTGTTCTCTGGATGCAGGTGAACTACAACTCCAGAACCCAAGGTCAAGGTCCACCAAACCCTTCTAGTCTTTTCTCTTGGTCATGAGAGTTCTGTGTGCCAAGTTTGGTTCAATTCCATCATTGGTGGAGTTCAGGATGCTCTTTGATTTTAGGTGAACTTTAAATCCCAGCAACTACAACTCCCAAATGACAAAATCTACCCTCCACCCAACCCCACCAGCATTCAAATTTGGGCATATCGGGTATTTGTGCCAAATTTGGTCCAGTAAATGAAAATACATCCTGCATATCAGATATTTACATGTCAATTCATAACAGTAGCAACATTACAATTATGTAGTAGCAACAAAAATAGCAACTATGTAGTAGCAACGAAAGTAGCAAAATTACAATTATGTTGGAGCCCCCGGTGGCACAGTGGATTAAAGCGCTTAGCTGCGGAGCTTGCTGACCGAAAGGTCGCAGGTTCGAATCTGGGGAGTGGGATGAGCTTCCACTGTCAGCCCCAGCTTCTACCGACCTAGTAGTTCAAAAACATGCAAATGTGAGTAGATCAATGGGAAGGTAAGGGCGCTCCATGCAGTCATGCAGGCCACATGACCTTGGAGGTGTCTATGAACAATGCTGGCTCTCCGGCTTAGAAATGGAAATGAGCACCACACCCCAAAGTCAGACATGACTGGACTTAATGTCAGGAGAAAACCTTTACTTTTACGTAGTAGCGACGAAAATAATGCCTTGGTCAGAGCACACCCAGAATCACACTGTGTCTGATTCTGGGCACCACAACTGAAAGGAGATGTTGACTCTAAGCTGGAATGTGTCCCAAGGAGGGCAACTCAAAGAATCAAGAATCTGGAGAACAAGCCCTATGAGGAGAGGCTGAAAGAGCTGGGCATGTTTATTCTGCAGGAGAGAAGGCTGAGAGGAGACATGGATCAAGATGGGAGGGGAAGTCAGGAGGGAATAATCTTGTTTTCTGCTGCCCTGGAGACTAGGACGTGGAACAATGGCTTCAAACTACTGGAAAGAAAGGAGATCCCACCTGAACATTTGAAAGAACTTTGTAATTGTGAGAGCCGTTCAACAGTGGAACTCTCTGCCCTGGAGTGTGGTGGAGGCTCCTTCTTCGGAGGCTTTTAAGCAGATGCTGGATGGCCATCTGTTGGGGGTGCTTTGAATGTGATTTTCCTGCTTCTTGGCAGAATGGGGTTGGACTGGATGGCCCACGAGGTCTCTTATTGTTTTCTTTTGGTCAGATGAGGATAGGTTGGAGGTCATCTACTTTTACTTTCTGTTTTCGTATTTTTTCCTGGATTTTTTTTTTGTGTGTTTTTTACTCTATGTTTCTTTTCTTGCTCCACTTTTTTTATTTTTAATGTAACCTCCATAAATCCCTGTGCTGCAAGGGCAGGTGCTTGTTGCATAAGCAAAAGCGGTCGTTCCCACATTTCAGGGCCACCAGATGGGAAAACAAAGCCAGATGCAAGAGATTGGACAAAGCTGCCCGAGCAAAATATTGTGAAACTCAAATCCATTTTGAGCCTTCTCCAGGCCAAGCCGTGGCTCTCATTTAAGAAGTGTATACATAAGCATTCAAGATTCAATGAGATGTTGAACCTAACTCCGTCCTGACAAACCCTGACATCTCTCCCTGGCCTGGATTGTTTACTGAGCTCTCTTTATGTTCTGCTTGAAATGCAACATTACATGCCTGGAAATGGTAGTTACATACAAACCTAGAGAAACAGTCTCTTCAACAACAAACAAGCTTTGGCCACATTCTGCACACTGGACACACCGACGATATAATAACACACGGTTGCCATGTCGTCATTTTGAGTTTGCACCCTTTGCATAATTCTGAAGTTCTATACAATATTTTATCTAGGGTGGTTGTGAGATTTCCAAGCTGCCTGGCCATGTTCCAGAAGCATTCTCTCCTGACATTTCTCCTCCATCTATGGCAGAGGTTGTGAGGCCTGTTGGGAACTAGGAAAATGGGGTTTATATATCTGTGGGATGATGTCCAGCAGACCCGTACCTAGGATTTTGATTCGGGGAGGGGGCTGAGTTTGGTTCGGGGGGAGGGTCAGGATCTACCCTAGCAAACCTTTTGTATTGTTATCCCAATACCCCATGATATGATCAGATCATGATATGAATAAACATAACAGTTTAAATAATGTACCAGTAAGGCCTTCTCGTGGACCATCCTGAGAATTTGGGGGAGGGGTGAAGCCCCTCCCCCCCCCCCCCCCCCCCCCGGCTATATGCCTGATGTCCAGGATGGGAAAAAGTACTCTTGTCTGTTTGAGGTAGGTGTGAATGTTTCGGTTGGCCACCTTGATTAGCATCTAATGGTCTTGCAGTTTCAAGTTCTGGCTACTTACTGCCTGGGGGAATCCTTTGTTGGGAGGTAATTAGCTGGCCCTGATTGTTTCTTGTCTGGAATTCCCCTGTTTTTGAGTATTGTTCTTTATTTACTGTTATATTTTTAGAGTTCTTTTAATACTGGTAGCCAGATTTTGTTCACTTTCATGGTTTCCTCCTTTCTGTTGAGCTTGTCCACATGCTTGTGGATTTCAATGGCTTCTCTGTGTAGCTTGACATGATAATTGTTAGAGTGGGTCAACCTTCTAGTGTTTTCTGTTGGTCATGGGAGTCCTGTATGCTACATTTAGTTCAATTCAATCATTGTTGGAGTTCAGAATGCTCTTTGATTGTACGATAACTATAAATCCCAGCAACTACAACTCCCAAATGACAAAATCAATTTTTTGAGTAATGGTCACTCCTTGGGTTAGTAGGTGTCTTGTGGCCAAGTTTGGAGGCAATTTGTCCAGTAGTTTTTGAGCTATGTTAATCCCACAAAGATTACATTTTTATTTATATAGATACTAGCTGTACCTGCCACGCGTTGCTGTGGCAAACCCTCCCTCTCTCTTTCTCTTTCTTTCTTTCTTTCTTTCTTTCTTTTCTTTCTTTCTTTCTTTCTTTCTTTCTTTCTTTCTCTCCTTCCTTCCTTCCTTCCTTCCTTCCTTCCCTCTTTTTCTTTTTCTTCTTTCTTCCTTCTCTACCTTTTTCTTTCCTCCCTTCCTTTGCTCTTTGGTTCCATCCTTCCTTCCCTCCCTCCCACTTTCTCTCTTTTGTTCCTTCTCTCCTTCCTTCCCTCTCTTCTTTCCCTCTTTCTCTCCCTCCTTCTCTCCTTCCCTCTTTCTTTCTTTCATTCCTTCTCTCTTTCCTTCCCTCTTTCACTTTTTTATTTCCTTCTCTCCTTCCTTCCTTCTCTACCTTTCTTTCTTTTTTCCTTCTCTCCTTCTCTCCTTCTTTCCCTCTTTCTCTCCTTCCTTCCTTCCTTCCTTCCTTCCTTCCTTCCTTCCTTCCTTCCTTCCTTCCTTCCTTCCTCCTCCTTCCTTCCCTCCCCTTTTCTGTGTATATGTGTTTTATGTGTGTATATAAACAGATTGCAGGTTTGAATCCGGGGAGAGGCGGATGAGCTCCCTCTATAGCTCCAGCTCCTAATGTGGAGACATGAGAGAAGCCTCCCACAAGGATGATAAAAACATCAAAAATCATCTGGGCATCCCCTGGGCAACGTCCTTGCAGACGGCCAATTCTCTCACAACAGGAGTGACTCCTGACACGACCAAAAAAGTGTGTGTATATATGCATATGTATTTATATATTTGTGTATATATGTATATATGTGTGTTTGGGTATATATGTGGTTTTGCACATGCGTTGTAATGTATTTTTTGTTTTTTGTCTTTTAAAGTCTCTTCTGCTGTGTTTTTCATTGTTTTTATGAGTGATGGTCACTTGTTGGCCTGATGTGTGTTTTGTGTCCAAATTTGGTGTCAATTCATCCAGTGGTTTTTGAGTTACATTAATCCAGCAAACAAAGATTACATTTTTATTTATATAGATATATTATACACATATATACCAGGCAAGGAAAAGCCCGTCTCTGTACCTCGTGTGCAAAGGGCCATTTGAGCAGGGCATCGTATTCCCCTCGGAGCAGCACAAGGAAGAGGGAGACATGGGAGCCCTTGCTTCTCCCGTCGCCATTCAGGTAAATCCTCATGCAGAGCTTGTGACCATAACGGGACGTGTAGAACGCTGCGGGCAAAAAGGAGAGCCATTAGGGATGGAGGAAACCTGCAGCAACCGCTATAAAGTGGGATTATTCCAGCTTTGAATATTCCATATGCCCAAGTATGAACACAGATAGGGTTTGGGGGAAATACACCTTGACATTTGGGAATTGTAGTTACTGGGATTTATAGTTCACCTACAATCAAAGAGCATTCTGATCCCCACCAACGACAGAATAGGGCCAAACTTCCCACACAGAGACCCCCATGACCAACAGAAAAGACTGTTTTTGGTGGCCTTTGATGACCCCTTTGACACCCCCTCACGACCTCCCCCAGAGGACCTGACCCCCAGATTGAGAAACACTGTCTTAGGTGGACACATTCAAATCCATTTGGACTGTGGCACAGCTGGCTGGGAGTCAGCTGCATTAAGATCACTACTGATCAAAAGGTCATGAATTCGAAGCCAGTCAGGGTTGGAGTGAGCTTCCAACCAATTTGTGTAGCTTGCTGTCGATCTTTGCAGACCCTTCTGACAACCTGACCCCCAGGTGAGAGATGCTGCCTTAAGCCTATCCAGTCCAACTCCCTTTACCAGAGCAAGAAAACATAATCAAAGCCCTCCTGACAAAGAGCCATCCAGCCATAGAAATAGATATATATGACTCTCTCTCTCTCTCTCTCTCTCTCTCACACACACACACACACACACACACATGTATATGACACATATAGTATCATAGATTGAAAGGGATCCCTAAAGAAGGACAATGATATGTTGCATGTTCCAGTGTAGGTAAACCAGACAATCTCGACATCAACACTGACAAAGAAACAACAAGAAATACTATTTACCCACAAGCAGAAAGCAATTACATATATTAGAAACCAACACTTTTTCATTACTTTATTTTCCAGATAACCAGACTGGGCCACAACAACATGTGGCAGGGGATGGCTAGTATTATATTTATTTATGATGGGAGCTGTTGGCCAGAATCACAGTCTAAGGTTGCAGAGGGATGCTTACCAGGAGACTGGAAGCTGCGCATCTTCCCGCAGACAGCTTCGTAACATTTGCGGTGGACATCAGTAATCTTCCACAGAAAGCTCCCATCGTAGGAAGTCTCCTCTGACGAGCGGAGCCTCTCCTCCAGCTTGCAAAGAGTGGCATCTTTCTGGACAAGGCATCGCTGAAGGTCGGCCATCTTGGAGAGAAGAAGATAAAGCTTGTCTCCAGATTGCCCCCAAATTTTCAGGTTGCGATGTGTCCACACCAGGGTTCAACACCAATTCTGGAGCATCCATCCTAGGGCTAAACCTCAGGCAGCTCCTTCAGGGTTCAGACTAATCTCAACTGCATTCAGACATACACTCCTTGCATTGAATTTGAAGAGGAATTTGCCGATTTGCTGATGACAACGTCGTCTGTGCACATTCAGAAGAATACCTACAAGCCACTCTAAACACCTTTGCAGAAGTATACGAGAAGCTCGTCCTGTCATTGAACATCGAAAAAACCAATGCGCTCTTCCAGAGTCACCAGTCAATCCTTCTCCAATGACAGAAATACAGCTTAATGGTGTAACATTAGAAAATGTTGACTATTTCTGCTACCTTGGCGGCCACCTCTCCACCAAAATCAACATGGACACTGAAATACAACATTGCCTGAGCTCTGCAAGTGCAGCATTTTTCCGAATGAAGCAGAGAGTGTTTGAGGACCGGGACATCTGTAGCTATTGTCCTCCCAAGCCTGCTATAAGTGAGATGTGGACTGTCTACAGACGTCACATGCAAATCCTGGAACAATTCCCTCAGCGCTGCCTCCGGAAAATCCTGCAAATCTCTTGGATAGACAAGCGGACAAATATCAGTGTGCTGGAAGAAGCAAAGACCACCAGCACTGAAGTGGTCGTCCTCCGCCATCTACTCCGCTGGACCAACCATGTTGTCCAGATGCCTGACCACCGTTTCCCAAAGCAGTTGCTCTTCTCCGAACTCAAGAACGGAAAATGGAATGTTGGAGAACAGGAAAAGAGATTGAAAGGTGAGCTCAAAGCCAACATTAAAAACTCTGGTATAGACACTGAGAAATGGGAAGCCCTGGCCCTTGAGCGCTCCAGTTGGAGGTCAGCTGTGACCAGCAGTGCTGTAGAATTTGAAGAGGCACGAATGGCGAGCAAAAGAGAGAAACGTGCCAAGAGGAAGGCACATCAAGCCAACCCCGACTGAGACCACCTACCACCTGGAAAGCAATGCCCTCACTGTGGGAGAAGATGCAGATCAAGAATAGGGCTCCACAGTCCCCTAAGGACCCACCAGCACACCGATCTTGGAAGACTATCCTACTTGGACAACGAGGGATCGCCTAAGTAAAGTAAGTTGCCAATTTTGGAACATCCAGAAAGAAAACCAAAATGCTTGACCTTCTCTGAAGTCTAGATATGAGTCAGCAGCAAGTTGGAAACATCCAGAAACAAATAACATTGCTTTGACTCAACTCTAGACATGAGTCAACAGCAAGTCTAGGGAAAAAAGTAAACACAAGGCAGATTCTCACCTCTCCATACATTTTCGACTATAAGCCTATTTACGAGAGATTCCCCCCCCCCCCTTTTTAGTTCTCCAGATGATGGTGACTTCAGTTCCCAAAAGCCAACTACTAAGTATTCTCAGAGGTGAAGTCCAATATACAGGCTGTCCTCAAGTTACAAACATCTGACTTGCAAATGACTCATAGTTAAGTACAGGCCTGGACTGGATGGCCTTTGGGAGTCCCTTCCAAATCTAGGATACTATATCTCATATATAGTATCAGAGTACTGCGACCCCCACAAATAACGGACCTGCACCAAAACTGGCACACAGATTCCCCATGACCAGCATGGAGGAGTTTGAGGGAGGATGGAGCATGTATGATGGGATTTGCAGTACCTCACCTGTTTTCGATCTGACTTTAAAGACCACTGCGACCCCCACAAATGACGGACCTGCACCAAAAGTGGTGCACAGACTCCCCATGACCAACATAACATACTGGAGGAATTTGTAACAGGATGGACCACGTATGATGGGATTTACAGTACCTCACCTGCTTTCAATCTGACTTTAAAGACCACTGCAACCCCCACAAATGACGGACCTGCAACAAAACTGGCACACAGACTCCCCATGACTAACATGGAGGAGTTTGAGGGAGGATGGACCACGTATGATGGGATTTGCAGTACCTCACCTGCTTTCGATCTGACTTTAACAGACCACTGCAACCCCCACAACTGATCAACATGGACTAAACTTGCCACAGAGAACCCACATGACCAACTGAACATATTGCAGTGGTATGGGGGAACTGATCTTGATTTTTTGGGAGTTGTAGTTCACCTGCATCCAGAGATACTGTGAGCCTCACCGACAATGGACTGGGATCAAACTTGGAACAGAGAATTCCCATGACTACATAACCAAATGTACTGGAGACAGTTGGGGTGAATTGACCTTAATTTTGGGGAGTTGTAGTTCACCTGCATCCAGAGAAACTGTGACTCCCACTGACAATGGACCAGGGCCAAATTAGGCACAGAGAACCCCCATGACCAACTGCAGGGGTTTAAGAGGAATTGACCTTGAGTTTTGGGAGTTGGAGTTCACCTCCATCCAGATTAACTGTGACCTCCAACGACAATGGACCAGGACCAAACTAGGCACAGGGAACCCCCATGACCAACTGCAGGAGTTTAGGAGGACTTGACCTTGAGTTTTGGGAGTTGTAGTTCACCTGCATCCAGATTAACTATGACCCCACTGACCATGGACCAGGACCAAACTTGGTAGAGAGAACCCCAAGACCAACTGACCATACTGCAGGGGTTTCGGGGGAAATGACCTTGATTTTTGGGAGTTGTAGTCCACCCTGCATCCAGAGGGCACTGAACCCAACTGACGTTGGAACAGGACCAAACTTAGCACACAGCCCTAACATGGCATACATTCAATACTGGCGGGGTTTGGGAAGGATTGACCCATGATTCTGGGAATTGCAGTTCACTCACATCCTTATGCATTTTCATATGCATAAGTCATGAAAAAATACCTAACTGATATTACCTAACACCCCAAAACAAACAATGCCTGTAAAGCCAATGGCTTTACAGTGATGGGTTCCAAATGTTTGCTCCTAAGTGAGCCATGCGTGTCCTTGGGTCCCTGTTACCTTCAGCTCCAAGCCGCGGATCATGTCCTGGTCGAGGCCCCTCTGTCCCCGGACGGCTGCACTCTTCTGCTTGGAGACAGCCATCTCTTTGCTCAGCACAGATACGATGCCTTCAAAGACACGGAGCTTGCTCTCCAGCAAAGAGACCCCCTGGTCTGGCTCCCCGAGGCCGTGCCACGGCACCTTCTTCTTCTCCGGATGCAGAGGCGTCGCATTGAAGCAGAGGCCGGTCCAAACGTTGGTGCCTGTGAACCAAGCCTCTCTTGTTGGGCACAACCCTGCCTTCAGCTCCTTCACGTATTGGAGCAACAACTGCAAGTGAACCCCCGTGGCTTCTACTTCGTGGGCTTTTCTCTCCTCCGCAGGGCCCTGCAGGCAAGACGTGTTGGGTTGCGAGGCTTCAAAAATCACATTGTACCCTTATGCATATACCCTTTGCTATTGTATTGGAGAAAATCCTTGTGGTTATGTGTTTGAACTATCCTGAGACTTTAATAGATGACCAGACTGTAGTTGCAAGTTAGCAGTGGCGAGGTCTTGCTCAATATACATATTATATATTTTATATGTTGTTTATTATTATTATTATTATTATACTATTTAATACGGTTCTTATTCCTGGGTTATATCAACAATACATAACCAATAATAATAACAACATACTGTAATAAAATAATAATGTCACACGATTGTTGTTCCTGGGTTATAGCAATAATACTTAATCATCATCATCAATAATAATAATAATAATAATAATAATAATAATAATAATAACAATGATACAAAAGCTCTAGTTTTTCAATAAATATCTCACCATCGAATTAATAAACCAACTCAACATAGCTTGTGGAAGCCACAAAAATGAAGTCATTTCTGGAGTAGAACAACTACTTTCATGATGACAGATAGATAGATAGATAGATAGATAGATAGATAAGAGAGACAGGGATAGCAAGTAGATAGACCTAGAATGGATGGCTAGATAAATCGATAAGATAGATCTATGATAGAAGTTATATATTATATACATCCATACAGGTATAGGTATAGGTATATGCATACATATAGATGAGTAAATAAAGATGATAATAGATATAGACATATGGATAGATTACTGATAGAAGGCAATAGATATAAATATATGTATAAAGAGGATGATTACAAATAGATTTAGATAGATATGAGAATAGATAGATATATCTATAGAGAGTGATGATAATAGACAGACATGGATAGATTACAGATAGGAGGTGATAGATACAGATATAGATAGGTATAGATATAGCTAGCGATATAATAGATATAGACACATGGATAGATTACAGACAGAAGGCAATAGATATAGATATATGTAGAAATAGATATAGATAAAAAATAATACATATAACTAGAGTGAGTGATATTAGATATAGATAGGCACATGGAAAAGATTACAGATAGATATATCGACCGAACAGACAGGCGTACAAATAAAAGACAAGAGCAGATTATGCTGACCGGATGATTAATATGATGAGACTTATTATTGAGTACTTCTTACTACACGTCTGTAAAACAATGGATTACCAGAGTGATATGTAATATAATATATAGATATATAAGATATATAAGATATATATCTATGATAGACAGATAGATAGATAGATAGAGCGCCATCCAGATATGAGAGAGGATAGATAGATAAATAGACAGACAGATAAAAGTCAAAAGAAACTATAGATAGATAGATAGATAGATAGATAGATAGATAGATAGATAGATCGATCGATAGATGACAAGATGATAAAGAGATGATATATTATTATTATTATTATTATTATTACACTATGTAACATGAGAGAGAGATGATAGATAGATAATAAAGATAAGAGATAGATAGACAGATAAAAGACAAGAGAGATGATAGATGACGAGAAAGAGAGATGATAGAAATCATCATCATCATCCTTACACTATGTAATGCAATGATAGAGAGATGATTGATAGATAGACAGATAGACAGATAGATAATAGACAAGATGAGACAGAGGATAGATAGATGATAGATAGTGTTGTGGTTCAGCAACAGCATGATGGACATGATGGGACTGAGAGTGCAAGTGGGCATGATGGGAATGGGAATACAGATGCAGGTGTGAGATTTCAGATTTCTCAGTTTTCTCAGCCACAGTCTGTAGCTAGAGAGAATCCCTCTTTGTTCGTCTAATGGAAAGAAATTTGTCTTGATAACACATGCGAACTCGTTTAAAATGTCAAAAGCGCGAGCTGTCATTTGTGTATAGTGAGAAGTTTTACTAATTTCTCCAATCTTGTAGCCCATACTTCTGGTGTTAAACTGTCCTCGTTAGCTTTCTGTTTTAATGTTCACTTTATTTGATGATTTTCGCTATAATAGACTTCTTGAACAGGCCCTTATTGCAGGTGTCATATCCACACTGATTTTTTCATACTTGTATTTCTAGTATAACCATTTGTCTCTAACTGTTG